CTGCTATGGGGAAAGTAAGGAAAAAAAAAGGTGTGCAAGGTTAGGCCGTATGTGCAACACTGCCCTCTTTTGGCCCCCAGCTATGGAGAATAGGTTTAGAACACCCTCCTGAACAGAGCAGACAGAAGGTCTTTCTTCTAACAGTGCCACTGCGTGGGCACAAGGCACATGGCTCATGGCTCATAGCACATAGCAGGGTAGCTCCCAGTGAGCCCTGCCTACCTCAGCAGTCCCAGCACCAGAAAAGTGGGAGATCACTGGAATCAAGGCCTGACAAATGCCAGCACTTACAGAACAGACTGACCAAAAGCAGTATGAGCCTGAGTATGCATGCGAATACAGATAAAATGGCACTACGAAAGCCAACAGGGAGAACATTAAAAAACAGACGTGCATGATTATAATGAATGATTTCAATGATTTACCTGCTAGCCAAGGCCACATTAACATACTGTTTCACAGCATAAGGTGTACGATACACAGTACACATGCTGCCTTATAGCAGAGGTTCTCAAACTTTTGAGCAAAGGTCCACATCAGATTTTTGTCCAAAATCAGAGGTACGCAACAATTTTCAATAACAAAATAGCACTCACTGATTGTGTCGACTCTGTCATGGGGGGGGTGGTTATGAGGAGTTAAGCTCGCAAGGTTTGGTGCGCGGCATAAGTTCTTCTTCAGCCATTCACAGGAATCACTTCCACAAGTTTGTTTGCCGATGTCTGATTTAGCGACAGATCACTGGTTGACGCTAAAGTCATCTTAACAATTCATGGGAGATGACTTCCCCTAGATGGCCGTCGCAGGAGGGAGAGACTGTGACAGCTTCCAGCCATACCTGTCAAGTTTTGGATTTGAAAATAAGGGAAATTTTCCGGCACCCACCGCGAGCCATCCCACCACCCCAACCAAGCTCCAGTATCCCTTACATTTTAACACAGGTGTACAAGAAATCTAAAATAAGATATCATTTTATTTTCATTACACATTTCATGTTCACTCATGTGGCTCTCTGGCATTCACTAATGACTTATTATACAGATTTGTTGCAGACTTTGTATCCTTGTTGAAGTCGTCACAGAAGGTGAAAGTAACGTTGTTTTTGGCACACAGCATTGCCATTTTATCCTCCACATTTATGACCTGGTTAATGTTGTAAATGACCTGCAGGTGGCAGTTCTCGCGAGGCTACTGACAGTTCAGTTTGGAGAGGCAGAGGAATTTTTTTGAAATGATATTATAATACGGGAGATTTACGGGAAAATACTAATACGGGAGGACGGCGGGAAAGAGGGGTAAAATATGGTATAGTTTCTCGGCCAAAACGGGAGAGTTGACAGCTATGCTTCCAGCTCTTGTGGTGGGACACTTAAAACCACTTTAGCAGATTCTTCAGCACGCAAAACTTGTGGAAAAAAATAATGCTTAATGTGCCAATAATTGTGCTTAAAGATACAGTACTTAAATTATAGAAATGAACTTTGGAGAAAGGGACGATTTGGGGGGCAGGTGAGTGCGTGAACACAGCTGACACACGTTAGTTGGATATCAGGATGGGTTGCAGAAGTCTGAACTCTCCATTTCACTTGCCCATAAGCAGCACCTTGAACTTTCTCGTATCCACAGAGCTCGACTTATACAACCAAACGAAACTCTTGCCTTTAAAATGGTGAGTAATTACAATTAGGACAGACTGAATATCCAAAATGCAATTATGCAATGGTGAGATTGAGCTCATTTATGGCTGCAAATAAGCTCAAAATAAAATCCACACAATTCAACTATGGAAGAAACATTTTATCCAAAAGCTCCACAGTACTTATGCATCAGGAGCTCCTTATAAGGAAACAGCAGTAAACTAACTGGTTACAATGGGACACATTAAAGGAGACATCGGGCTGTGACTGGGAAAGTTCAAAGTGCAGCACTGGGAAAAGAAGCTGTAATTTCTTAGCCACCACACAGAATTACATTTTAGTAAATACACTTATATGGAGAAACTTAACCAAATGTCCATGAGGAAAATTTCAAAGCCCATGTCAGACCTTGCACAGAGAACCAGGAACATGTAAGTGATTAGGAACAGTGCATTTTACTCTGGTCACCTGGATGAAATAGAGGTGTGTGCAGAAGATGCGATTATCACTAAATGGACCCATTAGGCCAGATAACACAGGTTGGACAAGAGCTGTGTTACAAAATAAAGCAATATTACAAAATAAAGGATGCAGTTTATACATGTAAAGGAAATGCACCATGCAATTGCCAGCATCCAGGTCTGCAAAACAGGGACACAAACTTCGGCCACAAACAGAAAGTGCCCTCCTCAGTCTTGTTCTAGTAACCTACGGATATTCAAAATCTGTTTAAAAGTCGAATTCTCACAACAGCACAGGCTGATCCGTATAAACTGTAAAAAAAAAATCCCAATAGTAAAGGGCAAAGACGTGGCATGATACTGGCTCTGATGCATGTATAGCCCAGGGCACCAGTCTGCATAGGGCACTCACCGAATTCTCAATTACGCAAAGAGAAGGAAACTTGACACCATTTACATAAAACATGTAGGCTTTACCACTGCCAAAGCTGTACTCCTGCATCATTCATTAACATTGCTTCCAAGTGATCCCATTTCGTTTTTCCGAAAAAGCCTACTCAATTATTTAATATTCACAACACAGTGCCTGAAATAAACCAGTGTTTAGACTGGAAGAGTCCCTTCACCCTGCAAGCAGGAAAAAATATCTGGGGACGTAATTCAAATCCAAGCAGTTTTAAATGCTAAGACTGTGAGTACAAGAGATTTAGTAGATAGGTAAGGTATATAAGTCAAGCTTATATACCACTCAGGATTGCTTGCCTGCCTGGCATAAAAGAAAGCATCACATTTTCCAGTCTCACCAGCCAAAATCACAACAGGAGTGTTTCAGACATTCACTATAGCTTTTTCGCCCAGCCAACAGTTTTACTTAAGAAAATTTATGTTACACTGCTGCATGTGTTTGTGAGCAATTCAGCCGAAGGACATGTTGAATAAGAAGAGTCTCCTGCAGCATTTTGTGAAACAGCTTGTCACACTCAGGGTAACAGGGGGTCCGGCGCCTGTCCCCAAGGCTACGGGCAGAAAGCAACCCATTGCAGGGCACACTCACACACCATTCACTCACACACCATTCACTCACACAGGCAATTTGGTAACACCAATTAACCTCAGCATGGTTTTAGACTTATGGGGGAAAACCGGAGTGTCTGGAGGAAACCCCATGATAATAATCGATACTTTATTGATCCCCGTGGGGAAATTGTCTTTACGCCTCCCTCAACTTGCTCTTTGTAGAGTAAGCTGTCTGCAAAGGGCAGCCACCTGTTGGGGCGCCCAGGGAGCTGGGGGTTAAGGGCCTTGCTCAAGGACCCGCAGACGTGCTGAGGCTGGGTTGGAACCGGCGACCTTAGCCGACTGAGCCACACGCTGCACCCATGACGACATGAGGAGAACATGCAAACTCCACACAGAGACTCAAACACAGGTTCCAGAGGTGTGAGACAACAGTGCTAACCACTGCGTCACTGTACTACCTGTATCTGGAACCTCTAGGTCTTTATATCTATGGCCTTCATCACTATGCTCAATCAGAACTTCACAGTTCTAAGTTGCTGAACTTTTGGGATTAATCTGACAGTACCCGAATGCCGATTTTTTAACAGGAAGTGAGCTTCTACAGTACCAAGAGAATGCATGTTCCACCTTTCAGATTTGCTCATTCTCTTGAGCGTCATGGGAATCATACAGATGCTTTTTTGCAAATGTTGACAAGCACTGAGGTTTCTCTTGATTACATGTGGTTTCTGCCTTGCTACCATCCCCCATGAATCCCATTTTTGACCAGCATCGAATTGTGGAGGCATTAACACTAACTGGAAATGATCCTAGAGGCCTATAGTTCTTTGCATGTGGTTCTGAGATCTTCAGTAACTTCCAGGATAAGTTATCGGTGTGCTCTGGCAGGCCAGCAATTCCTGGGAAGATCTGCCACTGTGCCAAATGTTCTCAATTTTAAGATAATGGCTCTTACTGCAGTTCAGCGAACTCAAAGAGCCTAAGGAGTAGTTCTGTAACTCTTTTCACATATATTTCAACAACTCGTATGCCCTAATTTCTTCCAAAATTTCCTTTGATCGTGACAAATGCTGATCTTGCCGAATCTTTCTGGTAAATACTTCACAATGATGGGGAAGTTCAATAATACGAGGCTGTGTACAATATGCTAAAAATAATTATCAATTAAATCAGGTTAACTGGCTCATTAAGAAACTATGGCAACTACTTTTTCACATGGGTTATAAGTGTGTTGGATAACTTTACTCAAATGAAATTTTAAAGTGTGTATTTACTCAGGTTGCCTTTCTCTAACATTATATTTTGTCAACCAGTCAATGTGATAAATATGCAATAAAGAAATTAAGCAAGGGGCAAATATTTTTCCATGGCACTGCACACTATTTCAGAACCACTTTGTTCTGTGTTCTATTAGAAAAGCATGAAGTTGATGCTGACAGGGGAAAATCAGTCAGCTTCTTGTACTTGACGCAGTTAAACTCTATGTGAGATACGAATGAATCACTCCCAAGCATGTGAGGATTGGTTCCTATGGATATACTGCAGGGGCCTCTGCAATAACAGCACACCCTAGGTGATGATTTATGGTGGACTCCAACTTTCACATCAAGTACAGTCCTTAAGGAGCTCAACTGCACTCTAATCTATTCCAGAACTCAGCCAAGCTCATAATGATTGATGACACGACTAAGCAACACTCGCACCCTACAGCTCCATGGCAGGTCTGCAGGGGCCGATTATGCAGCATTTAGTGTTGCTACTCTCTGCTGCCACTAATAAATAATAATACAAGAACCATAATCAAGTATACTGCATCATTAGGTACTCGGCCCACCCACCACTGCTAAGTCAGGACCCCCACCCCTACAGCTCTAAAGGGTACCTTGGCAGTGAGGTCCATGGAGGCAGACAGGAGGAGATGGCTGAAATGGGGCACTGGGCACCACTGGACTGTGTTGACTGGGCCCTGGTGGGCCTGGACACGCAGCCGCACACGCCTGGGCAGCTCCGTCCCAGTGGACTTCCGCCTCAGAAATGGACTAATGATTTCGGACACTTCGGTGAGCAGTCTGGAGCCTGTCCCTGAGATAACGGACCCATCCCCTTGAATATCGCCCTCTGAGCTCGCCGCCACTTGCTGAGACAGCCTTTGCCTTTTAGGAACGTAAGGCCTGATACCAGTCATTGGGGTCTCTTTGAGAGGCCTCTTCGGAGGACCCACACAGCTAGAACCCTGAGCTGTTTGAGGCAGGGACCTCACTACTGCAACGCCATCCTGAGTACCATCTGGCTGAATCCAAGGACTGTAGCAAAACTCCCAGAGTGATCTGGATTCCTGCCCATCTTGTCCGCCACCTTGAGGGCTGAGAGAAGACTCATGAGGATCTGTGGGACCGAATTCAATGGCTCCATGTTGGCCAAGGGAATTTTCTGCGCCAAAGTCACTCTCTGAGTTTTGATGAATTGTTCCCTCCTGTGTTGTAGATTCATCTTCAGTGTCAGAATCCTCATAAGCTACCAAAGAGGCCATTATGCCAACACCTTCTATATGAAAAAGAAAACAAAATTAAACATTTTATTTGCACGTAAACAGCATGATTTTTCTGTACCATCCCTAAAATATGATGATGTATAACTTTGTATTTTTCAATTACTGTAACAGCATTGCATCTTGAACAACTCCAGTTTTCATACACTGATTAACATCTGAAGCAACATGTTAAGGGACTTGCTATCCTACTATACACAAAACACCATAATACACTATGAATTTTCTAGGACTGAAACCACACATTTCTGACTTACAGTATGGAGTCCAGCTGCTCAGCTTCACTCCTAAAGCCACTTTGTGTGATTTTTAGACTCAAAATCAGTATGTTACTTTAGTAAAGATATCAATCAGACAGCAAGTTAACGTTAAATGGGTCCTAATTTGCTCATGACACAGTTTACTGGCTGATATACAGACAGCCCTTTCTAAAATTTTAGAACATGTACCAACTTTTAATCACAAGCCTACGCACATTTTTAAAAATCTAACACATCGGCGCCACCTACTGGATGCTTTCACTGTTGCATCATTACGTGTACGTGAGGAGGAAACAGGGGTAACGAACTACATAGACTTTTGCGTTTTGTGTGAATTTTAAATATTTAAAACATATATTACAAAAATATGCCCACTTAAAGTCTGCTAAAGACTACTGATATCCAGATAGGGGGAGAGGTAGATAGCTGATTAGCCCCTTTTAGGCTACTGAGGCAGTCAGAACCTGAGAGATTAGCACCCAATATTCTTTATTTCAAACGTTCCCATTAAACTACGCACAAAATACAACTACCAACGCACAATAAATCTAACATAACAACTGCCAAACCACAAAAGGTATAGAACTAAAATATCAGTATCGATACTCTTAGCCTCTAATTACCGCCTACCTACCCACTAAGCGAAAATATAACAGTAAGCTTAATTAAAGGTTGTGACAGTGAATAATATTGTGTTAGCAGCATTTTTATAATTTCGTTACCATTTGGGCTGGCAGACCCCTTCGTAAACGCTCTACTGTGCCAGCAGTTTCACTCGCCACGCGCAGTCTCGAGCATTTTAAGTTGCTCAAAAAATTATGTCGTACTAGAAACTGAAACACAGCCACTTAATACAAAATTCTACTTTTAAAAATGCATATTTGGATTAATTTGGATAATATATTGAGTTTAAAAAAAATAATCTATATAAAATGTATTTTTGTAAATGGTTGGGAACATTTTCTGTACAAAAATCTCAATAAAACTACAAACAGTTTGTGTTTCTTTACGAACCATCTTCTTTGGTGCACAGTTCAGCTGATGCAAGTTGCATGAAAGGAATCTAGGATTTCTTGTTCTCATACTGTAGGTCGGTTAATATCGAAATAATATTATTTTTCATTTATTAGTCGATGATCAATGAATTTTGGGCCTTTAAATATATTTTTAATTTAAATTATAAATATGTAATTGTGCGGTTAAAAGACCTAGTGGAACATTTGTTGGTTTGCTTTCGTTTGACGGTGAAGCTGCTTATGGCTTGTCATCGTCGGTTATATTAGTACAGTATTTGTCAGGTTGAAGGCCAGAATTCAGTTGACTAGACAGCACTTGTGATGCCTTAAAATAAATATAACATTAGCATCACAGAGTTTTTCAAATTAATTGCAGTAAACGTTTATGTTTTCTAAAATCTGTTTTGTCGGTAGTATCTTATGCCACTGATGTTTTTCGTCAGTTTGCGTGTGTATACGTATATACTGCGTGCATGAACCTCTATCTTTTGCGTGTACCCCAGAAAATTTTAACCTTGTGGTCTCAGCCCTGTAGAAGTAGATATGCGGTCAGATGTGTTTCGTACTATTTAGAGCTTAGTACCATTTCGGCTTTCGCTTTTCATTTCAAGGTTTTATCAGTTCCGGTAAATCAGGCAGTTACCAGAGCTTGGGCGTTTACGCTTGCGTTCTATTTATTGAATTTTGCCCCCCCCCCTCCTCTCTATTGTAATACACAGTTACTCCTGATTTGACGATGACGGACTTTCAGTCAGATGGGGAGGGAAGTCGAATCCCTTTGGAGTTATATAAGAAGCTGGCAGCACAAGGAAATCAAGTCAGAGTCCTTAAAACTGAAAAGGCTGATAAGGTAAGATAATCCGTCATTCTAACACTTGGTAATATATGTGTGTGTATATATATATATATATGGTACAACAATAGTGGCTATTCTTGATTTGTTTTACAATTTAATTATGTTGCTCTTTCTGTGTGCTTTTGTACTTCTAGGCTGACGTGGAAGCTGCTGTCCAGCTATTGCTGAAACTGAAGATGGAGTATAAAGCAGTAACGGGGGAGGATTACAAGCCTGGATGTCCCCCCAGTGACAACTCTGTCCTGCAAGAAGACCCACCTTCAGCAAATAATGAAGAGGACTTTGTGGACCCCTGGACTGTGTCGTCGAGCAGTGCCTCAGGCGTGGATTATGACAAGCTGATTGGTGAGGAGACTTACCTTGCATGATGCAATAAAGTTACGACCATGAAGAGGTGAAGTGGTTTAGGGGTCTTCGATGAGAATGGTAGCATAAAATATAGACATGAACACTGGTCTGTATGACTTGCTTTCAGTGTTGCTTTCCTGCACAGATGCAGTATTTCACTGTGTGTTGTTACGGTTATGTCTTATATTATATTAGCTTGCCGAGTCTGTTCTCTAATGGCCGAATTCAACCTAGTACTGATGTGATTGCATGCCACTGTGTCCTTTCAGTACGTTTTGGCAGCAGTAAAATTGACCAAGAGCTGGTGGACAGAATAGAGAAGGCGATAGAGCAGAAGGCTCACCGCTTCCTGCGACGAGGAATCTTCTTCTCACACAGGTCAGCTTTTCTGCCCTTCCCCTGCCACTCATGGCTCTTTCATTATGGGGGGGGGGGGTGTGAGTTATATGTTGTATTTTTAAAGCTTGTATTTTCTAAAATGTCCACCTCTCCTTTCCTTTCCCTTAAAGAGAAAAGTCTGTGTATGTGGTTTCTTATGACCAGTGAGGGTTGGTGTTGTTGAAATCTACATGTAATGTTGCATCAGTAATGACAATGAAAGGCGTGAGGCAACAGTTTCAGTTTCACTTTGCAGAATCCTGCAGTACCTGCACCAGCAGTCTAAATAAGAGAGAAGATTTAGGAAACATTATCGTTGGCTAATTTCCCAAAATTATTATAACAAATAAGCTAGAGATAAAACCTACATTATGCTTTATATACATAGGAAGGAAAGACAAAACCTATGATAAAATGAGTAACAATATTCAACAATAAGTAACAATTCAATAACAGTGAGTCACTTTGTAACAAAACATCACTTTTTTTGCCCAAACTGTCTCCTAAATACTGTGTCAGCAAAGTGCTTTTATGGCAAAAAAAAAAAGTCCTGCTTTGTATTTATGACCTACTTACATGATGCCTTAAAAGGACTATATGCCTCAGTGAGTAACAGTATTAGTTAACATATACACAATATAATCAAATATGCTTACCAGGGTTGATTAAACATCAATTCAGCTTGTGATAACATTGCCATTTGAAGAAGGAAAAAGGAAATGCATGGCAAGATGCGTTGCACACCTCATATATGTGCAAGTCCTATGAACTTAACTTACCTAACCCTGTTATTAAATGAACGAATGGAATTAGCTGTGCTAGTGGTGAAGTGCTACATCTCAAACTTGTTTTGCTTAACGTGCTTAATCACGTACCGCGCCTGGCGATCTAATTGTGTTTCCAAAGGCTGACCATTTCATCCTGTTTCTTTTATTTAAAAAGTCCAAGTTCGCAACACTGGAAACTGAAAATTTGCTTTATCAGAGATTAAGACAAGCTGTATTTTAGGAATTTACCAAACAAGATTAACTGGAGGATGTTTTCCAGACAAGTTCACCTTTAAAGAGGGGGTGGGGGGGCAGACAATACATATTTTTTGCTAGATTTTAAATCAGCAGCTTCAATAAAAGTGGTTAGATGTGTAAAATGTGTTTGGAATAATTAAATTAAAGAATTAATGATTTTGTAAGGGATTAGTGTTTATGTGATTTTTCCCCATCAAAAACTATCCCTAGATTTATGTTTACATGCATATAAAAGTCGATTGGAGGAGAATGTCCAACATAAGAGAATCATACTGGATAAGTCATAAGTTTGCATTGTAGGTTGTATTTTTAAAGCTTGTATTTCTCTACTCTGTCCTCCATTTAGTTTCCTTTCCCATAAAGAAAAAAGCCATTTGAGTTGTTTACACTGACCAATGAGGGTTGGTGCTGATGAAATCTACATGAAATGTTTCTTCAGCAGTGAGACTGTGGGTTACACTAGATGGTTTACAAGAAATGGCACATGTTTACAAATACAACACAGTTTCAGTTTCACTGTGAGGGAGCCTTCAGTACCTAAAAATAGTTCTCAGTGCTGTTCCTGATGGAACCCCCCTGCCACAATGTTTTTATCCTAACCCAACCTTAATCAGGCTCAAATGGTCCTTAGTAGCCTAATAATAATGAATACATATATCCACTGGTCTAAATGAGAGGGAAAGTTAAGGAGAGATTATCGGTAGTTAATTTCCTAAACTACTATAGCAAATAAACCAGAGACAAAACTTTATATACATGGGCAGGAAAAACAGAACCTATGATTAAATGAGTAAAGATGTCCAACATTAAATTGTGAATTGCTTTGTTTCAAAACATAATTTTTTTTCCCCCCCAGACTGTCTCATAAATGCTGTCAGCAACATGTTTTTTTTATGGCAAAAAGTCATGCTTTGTACTTATGACCTGACATGGCAATTGACTTTACACCTCAGTGTAGTTGGGAAGACTTACCAGACGCTCGAAAAGTTGGATGAATTGCGTGAGCTGCAGCCTGTGTGTTAGACAAAACAGTTATTAACATACCAAAGTCAGATAAACATCAAAGCAGTCTAGTTTGCGATATCAGAAAGCTCTCCTCAGACTATTCTTGTTTGAGTAATTGCCTGTTTGTGTCTTTGCTAACAGTTTTGTTCGTTGGTTGTCCCCCTCCAGGGATATGCACCAGGTCCTAGATGCCTATGAGAACAAGAAGTCCTTCTACCTGTATACGGGACGGGGGCCCTCCTCAGAAGCCATGCACTTGGGGCACCTCATCCCCTTCATCTTTACAAAGTGAGGCCCGTGTTCCACCCCCTCGTTTATTTTGTTGCATATACACCACATACCTACCTACCTACATATCTATATATATCTAAATATACACATATGTACGTACGTACATGTATCAACTTAAGTTTTGAAGTATTGACTTAAGTGAGGACATATTTCAGTCATTATAGTGGAGAGGTGAAATATCGTGTGCAACCTGAGATACAACATCACACACTTGTATAAATCTCTATAGTGCCAGCACTAGGGTTGTGACGATGAGGAAATTTCCCCACCGGTTAATGGACATGTGACAACACCGGTATCACCGTGGGGGTTTCCTCTTTTCAGCTTTTCTTCCTGCTTTTAAATAGCTTATAAATGTGTGCGTATTATACTTTCACTTTTAGTTTTGCGGGAATTGGCAATTCGGCGTCAATTGTTTGAATGGACGACAACGAAACAACAATTAAAAAAAAATCACTGATATTAAACAGAACTTTTATTAACATAACACAACACAAAACACAACAATGCTACAGGCTGAAAAAACTGTGAAAGTTGGAACCAAACAAATAACAACCATAGAACGTTTATTACGTAGCCTATGTTAGAGCGTTTTTAAAACGAATAAGAAAATAAAATAGAAAGATAAATAAATAAAGTTTAAATAAGATTAAACGAATAAACAAGAAACGAATATGAAAGAAAAACTTCCAAAATGACATTAGGCTACAAAAATGACAAGTCAGCAGTCTTTAAAAAAAAAAAATAAATGTGGGGACGGTATCACGGTGGAAAAGTGATGTCACCGGTGTTGCGTCTTAAAACCGGTAACACCGTCTATCGTGGCAAGCCTAGCCAGCACAGTCGGTAAATATCAGCAGACCAGCAGACATGGCTGAATCCTGACAAGAGCAAGATGGACATTTCCGCAGGGTGGCATTGCCTAAGGCGTGCCCGCACAAATATGTCATATACAGACATAAAAGCAGGGTCACTCTTTTGTCACCTATCTGCACACTGTCATGTTACCACCAGGTGTTGTATCACCGTGAATCATATTCCTCATCGCCCACTCGAGAAGTACTCATGTCCTCTGCAGTGCTGGTGCAGAATAACTATACGACGTGGGGTGCCGGCTTGTCGCAATGTGGGGGCAGGGGAAGGGAGCAAAGGACCCTGTAAGGTTAGCAAGGTGTGACCGAAAAAGAAAACATTGTAAGGGAAGTGTCGGCAAGAAGAAAAGCAATCCAGATTGAGCAGAAATCAAACGATTATTTTTCACGATTAATCATATACGCAAGCATGTTGCAATACTATCCAAAAAAAATCTATAGTTTGTATATTAAGTATAGAAATTAAATACTGTTAACTATCTTTGCTCATGCTATTCTCCCATTGATCAGTTACATTGAATTTGGCAGAGAATCGAGCTAAGATTAAAAGAAGCATATTATTGACATGAAATCTGGCGACCCTGTCAGGTGGCTGCAGGATGTCTTTGACGTGCCGCTGGTCATCCAGCTGACGGATGATGAGAAATACCTGTGGAAGGACCTGACTCTGGAGGAGTGCCACCATTATGCCGTAGAGAACGCCAAAGACATCATCGCCTGTGGTTTTGATGTAAACAAGACCTTCATCTTCTCTGACCTGGATTACCTGGGGTAAACATGTCTACCATTAAGGTCTTTATAGATATCCTTAGTGCAAGCACTCATAGCACAGAACCACACAAAAATGGAAGAGAGTGGACCTAGTTCTAGGAAGAAGCCCTTCATTTTAATTTCTAAATTAACTGAACTAGTTAACTATGTCTTGACCTCTTTAAAATTATTTAAAAAGGTGTGTTTATCAACTTGGAATTGCACATTTTAGATAAATTGTTCAATTATGTTACACTAGGGGGCACTTTTGAGCATAGTATTCCAAGACAGGAACCCACCAGAAACACATTTCAGCTTGTTCCAGCAGCATCTCATGAACAGTGTTTGTGAAATTTTCAAGATAAGATAAGGCCTAGTGGGAATGATATCTTTACATCCAACATATTCCAGCAGGGTTCTCGATTACGTGCCCATGTCGCAATAAGTTGTTTTAGATGAGGTCCCTGCCTCAGCACGCTGGATAGATCAGCCACACACTTCTTCCTCTTGTCTACAGATCGAGCCCTGGCTTCTACAGTAACATCGTGAAAATCCAGAAGCATGTGACTTTCAACCAGGTCAAGGGTATCTTTGGGTTCACAGACAGTGACAGCATTGGTAAGACGGTCAGGAGAGGGAAGCTGGAGTTTACCAGAATGACACTCAACATCTTGCAAAACAGATGTTGCAATTTTCCCGTTATCCAAGTAATATTATTTCTCTTAATATACACGATATGGACAAAAGTATTGGGACACACCTCTTAATCGTTGAATTCAGATGTTTCATTCAGACACATCGTCATAGGTATATAAAATCAAGCACCTAACCATGCAGTCAAGTTTACAAATATTTCTGAAAGAATGGGTCATTCTGAAGTCAGTGAATTCAAGTGTGGTACTGTTACAGGACACCACCTTTGCAGTATGTCCGCGTGTGAAATTTCTTCCCTGCTAGATATTCCACAGTCAATTTTAAGTGGTATTATTGCAAGTGGAAGTATTTAGGAACAACAGGGACTCAGCCACGAAGTAACAAACCATGTAAAGTACCAGAGCAGGGTTGCCGAGTACTGAGGTACATCGTGCGTAAATTTCGGCAACGCTTTTTTGATTCAATAACCGAATCGCAGAGTTCCAAACTTTCTCTGGCATTAACCCCAGCACAAAAATTGCTCGCTGGGAGCTTCATGGAATGGGCTTCCATGACTGAACAGCTGCATGCAAGCCTCACATCAAGGTAAAGCACACCGCCACTGGACTCTGGAGCAGTGGAAACGTGTGCTGTGGAGTGACGAATCACACTTCTTTGTCTGGCAGTCTGATGGATGAGTCTGGGTTTGGCAGATGCCAGGAAAATGTTATCTGCCTGACTGCATTGTCCTAATTGTAATGTTTGGTGGAGGAGGGATAATGGTATGGGGTTGTTTTTCAGGGGTTGGGCTAGGCCTCTTAGATCTCTTAATGCTTCCGCATACCAAGACATTTTGGACTATTCTATGCTTCCAACTTTGTGGGAACAGTTTGGGGAAGGCGGCTCTTTTCTGTTCCAGCTTGGCTGTGCCCCAGTGCACAAAGCAAGGTCCATATAGACATGGTTGGGTGAGTTTGGTGTGGAAGAACTTGACTGGCCCACACAGAGCCCTGACCTCAACCCCATCAAACACCTTTGGGATGAACTAGAACAGAGATTGCAAGCCAAACCTTCACATTTAACATCAGTAGCTGCCCTCACAAATGCTGTTCTGAATGAATGGAAAAAAATTCCCATAGACACACTGCAAAACCTTGTAGGAAGCCTTCCCAGAACAGTGGCAGCTGTTTTAGCTGCAAAGGAGGGACCAACTCCATATTGATGCCCATGGATTTGTCAGGAGTTCCTGTAGGTGTAATGGCCAGGTGTCCCAATACTGTTGTCCATACATATATGTGTATATGGAAATGTAGTAACTATTGATGTTAAACACCAGGCTACTATCCAGTTCAAAGTCTACAATGTTTAAAGGTCCCTACTTCACCAGGGAGGAGAAAATGTTTTGGATTTTTGTTGAAAATACAAATGATAAACACCACCCTGAACGCTCCCATAGCCCCTTAAGCAGGAGTGAAACTTAAGAGTAATTGCTTCTAGCCAACTGGGCTATTCCAGTAAAAATGCAGTCCAACTTGCAATGTTTTTTCTAGCTGGCGGGCTAGTGTTCTGTTTTTTGTGCTTGCCTTTAATTTAAATGTCCAGCCTCGCCTATAAGAAAACACCTAATATAAAAAGATTTGTTAATAGCATATCGAAGCAACTGATTTGTGCATAAGAGATGGACATTGTTGCCACTGAACCAGGTCAAGCCCCTGACAGCAAACCTTTTGGACAGATCCCAGCTGTAGCTGTGGAGGTTGAACAAACAGCAAATCTGCAGAAACCCCCCTAGACCAGACCATCACATTTACTCACTTACTTTCAAGATCCTCCAACCTGGCATTGCTTTTCTCACGCCACTCCCTCTTCCTCTATCTGCCAGGAAAGATCAGTTTCCCGGCCATTCAGGCGGCCCCCTCCTTCAGCACCTCCTTCCCCCAGATCTTCAAGGGCAGGAAAGACGTGCACTGCCTGATCCCCTGTGCCATTGACCAGGTCAGTGTTGGCCCAAGGCCTTGGCTCACTGCACTCGTCTCTCACCTCTCCCGACCTTCTTACACGTCAGACACAGTGCAGTTCCTGGAAATTTGCTGTAACTTGATGACGAATTGAAAAATTCACAACTTAACTGTAATGAATCACTGTTTAATCATCCCTCCCTGCTACAGCTCTCTGGCTGTTGTCACTTTTTGAGCATCAGATTGAGACATATTTACTCTGGGGGTCAGTGCCACGTGGCGTCAGCATGAGCTCCGTAACTTGTGAAGTGTGTACAAAAACTCCACTGTACTCCACTGTACTCTCCAGGCAGTCTTATGGATTTGCAAGGGAGAGAAGTGTTTGTTATGAAGTACATCACCAATGCATTCCATATCCAACAAGGACATTCCAGAGTCAAAACAAACACACATACTCATGTAAGAAAGAGACCAGCATATGCAATGAATCTATGAGTCGTCACATACTCCCGGTCCTAAAGGCAGATCTGTTGTACCTTAAGCATCATCTCATGTAAGACATGTTTTGTCCAGCCGAATATAGACTTTGTATTGAATGTGTTAATATGTAAGTATACAGGTTTGGTGACTGTGTGTCATATGAAGGTAAGTATTTGCGACATAATGCAGCCTGGAAGCTCCTCTGAGTCACTGTCGCCTTTGATGTCTCTGGGTCGTCAGCTTCCCCTTGAGGATTAAGTGTAAAATAGAACATTGTCTTACACATGACCTATATTTTCACATGGGAAAGATTAACACGTTGGGCACGTAAAGTGCAGCTTTCACAATCTGAAGCCTTGCGCCAGAGTCCGAGAGACTGACCTGAAAATCGCTTAAAGTGGTAGGTGCAGATTAAAGTGTAACGCAGGGGCCAGTTAATGTCTCTTATTGATCACCTTTCTTTAGGATGCCACAGTTTATTTTGAAATATCATCGCATGAGACTTTTGTTTTTGCCTAAAATGATGAAATTTATAATTGTGTTGAATTATATGGTAATATTTGTGTGTTTAACCAAACTGAATTTGTTGCGTTTTTCATTTATTTATTTTAATTAGTATTATTTACAGCCGGCATTTGAATCCATATCAGTTTCCTGAGTCCATCTCTCATTGGCTGTGCCTTTTTTGCCGTCACATCAGGACCCCTACTTCAGGATGACCCGTGATGTGGCCCCCCGCATTGGCTTCCCCAAACCTGCCCTCCTGCACTCCACCTTTTTCCCTGCCCTGCAGGGTGCCCAGACTAAAATGAGTGCCAGTGACCCCAACTCCTCTATCTTCCTGACTGACAGTGCCAAGCAGATCAAGGACAAGGTATAGGCTGTCCTCCAGATACCAGCAATGAGTGTAACATTTCTGCCTCCAGTATATATCTCAAGGATTAAAGTCCGTTTGAAAGTACATTATATATTGCTTATAAAGCAAACTTGTGCTTCTTCATGCAGGTCAACAAGTATGCTTTCTCAGGAGGCAAAGACACTATTGAAGAGCACAGGAAGTATGGTGGCGACCCTGACGTCGATGTGTCCTTCATGTACCTCACCTTCTTCCTGGAGGATGATGATCAGCTGGAGAAGATCCGACAGGTGAGCACCAACACCCCGAGTGTGAACATTCAAGGCCCAATTTTTGGAGACTCTAGCAGTATATTATTATTAGAATGTCTAACAAATGCAATCTTCTGGTTCTTTTCTGCAAGGGTCCCAAAGTTTGTATATGTGCCTGTCCATAAAACAATATAAATAACTGGTAGGCTTGACTCTCTCTAGGACTACTCCAGCGGGGCTCTGCTGACAGGCGAGCTGAAGAAGTACCTGATCGAAACCCTGCAGCCCTTGATCTTGGCTCACCAAGAGAAGAGGAAGGAGGTCACGGATGAGATGGTCAAAGAATTCATGACCCCCCGGCCACTGGACTTCAGCTACTAGCTGAAGGGTTTTCAGTAGCAAACGCCTCTCCGGAGAGGGAGGCCGCTGGAACTTTGACGCTTGGGCACCACGCTGTTATCGCAGCACACGAGCAGAATGTCTACGCTGCGCGGTCTGCATCAATAAATCACCCACTAAGATGACCTTGAACCTTTTAGCTTCTCTCGCTCTTTACCTCGCTTCGTTTTTATTTTGTGTTGTGACGAAGTCAGGCGGGAGGGTAGCAGATGGTAAATATTTAAGGGGATATTTAGGAAGAATTTTAGTGCCAGGATTAATCAGTGAGAGACGTGTGGGGTGGGGGGGAATCTCAGCAATAGTCAGTTTGTGTACATTGTATTGCACAAAAAGCAAAGTAGAAAAGGAAGGTGAGATTGAAAATACTGTCCACAGTGAACCAATTCATATGTTTCAACATAATTTATGTAGTTTTATTAACATTCCATAATTTACATTTAAGTACAGCTTCTCCCCAGGTTACAGTGGGTTTACAGTATGTTCCAATAAACCTATCGTAAGGCAACAATATCAAAGGAAAAAATGCATTTTAATACACTACAACCTAACTAACATCATAGCCTAACCTATAGCCCACCTTAAACATACTTAGAACACTTACATTAGCCTACAACTGGGCAAATTCATTAATACAAAGCCTATTTTAAAATAAAGTGCTGAATATCGATTTATAGAATAATGTACTGAAAGTAAAAAACATTTATCCATCGTAAAGTTGAAATACAACACCATCATAACCTAGGGATCATCTGTATATTGATATTTTTACAAATTCATAATTAATACATTTCAATAGTTTTTTTCCCTTGTAAAATTTGAACATTTCTTTCTGCATTAAAGGGAACGACGGTGAAGACGGTGGGCAGTGTATGGAAATGAACTGGCATTATTATTTCTGTTAATTTTACCGTATGGGTACCTCAGGAATGATTGAATTTATAGGGTTTCAAACTAATTAATTCAAGTGTAACACTGGATAGCGTCGTTCTTTTTTGGCTTAGCGTATGTTTTAAATGATAAATATGTAATGGAAAAACAAAATCACTATATTAAAAAATTGCCATTAGAGACATTATTGTTGTGGTCCCCTTTCACGGAATTAAAACCCAATACAGCACATTTTGATATGTTAGGTATATTCATGAACAGAGAGTAAAAGTCCAGACCGGGATTTTGTTTCAACCAAGAAGTTGAGCATAAAAAGTCACAGTCTCAGAGTACTCAACTGGCTGGTTGAAACAAAATCCCGGTCTGGATTTTTACTCTCTGGACCAGAATTACACAACCCTGGTCATGAAGTGTGAAGGGCCTACTGGAAAAATTCTGGTATTCCTGTACATCACATGGTATACAGGGGGCATATTCTGTGAGCTATAAGGCACAGCATGCACATCTGAAAAATAAGGCCCCTAATGGTGTTTACAACTCTGGTACAGCAAAGAACCAATGTGCGTAGAACATGTAGTCAAGAAGAAACCAGCAGCCTATGAAAGTCATTTCTAAATAAATGAACAAATGCTGTTGACCTCTAATAGTAATTCTATACCCAGTTCATACTTGCAGTTATCCAAAAGCAATGCAGATGTGTCCTATGCCAAAATCCATTTTGAAATTATGCGATACTTTGTTTTTACTGAACTACAGATGCTGTGAAGCAGACCACTGCGTTGCTGACATCAGTATAATAAAGGCATGCATTTACTGAGCCAATGAACATCACCTGTCTGCAAAGCTATCTTTGCCCAGAGTGCTCATTTTGTATTGCACTTACTATGAAATACTTATCAAGAAAACGGAACTGAGGAGCTTAACAAAACTGAATTCAAAAAATTGATCTATAAACTAGGGCTGTCAAAATTAACGGGTTAACGCAGATTAATCCATCATCATGATTAATCTGATTAAAAAAATTTACGCAATTAACCCATCTGTAGCGCAGAATGACTCAAAATCCCTGAAATGCCTCTGTCAACCCATTTCGGGCAGTTTTGGTGCATTCCATTTGCCCTGGGAACTCGTATTCCGAGTCGGATTCCAGTTTTGAAGCCGGAAGTGACGACATGCGCGCTCCCGTTTCTCAGAGATCGAGAGAAATATCTCGGAGCAGCATAGAGGATCCTGAATTCAGAATCCAAGATTGCTATGTTCTTTATCAACAGAAGGGAAAGTTGTAGTTTTATACTGTTTAAGCACTACTCATTTATGGTTCATTAAATCGGTGGCACGCACTATACTGTCCAAGTTATCTGTGGACGTGTTGATATGGAGTTTTATACGTAAAGCATCGCGCGTAATGTGTTATCAACTGATATTGCTAACAATGGCAATTAACCGGGCTACAGTTGGATTTCATGATAAATCAGATTATTTGTCGGATTTACGGTAGTTCGGGCTAATTGTAAGTGAATGAAGATAAAGACCATTTAAACTGAGGTACCTTAAATCTGACAAGTTGTCCGGCTAAGCAAAAAATCTTGCTTTTTGATATGGGTCCATGGTATTGCACTTCTGTGGCAGATAGAATGCATCCAACTCATGTTCAAGATGTTCAATAAACATGTTAAGTGCACATATATTACCTTTTTTCTCGAGTCTGTTTGCTCATGCAAAATGAAATGTGATTAATATAGATTAAAATTGAATGATATTTAATCATGATTAATCGAAATTAATCCACAGCAACCCTGTGATTAATCTGATTAAAAAGTTTAATCGTTTGACAGCACTACTATAAACACGTTAAAACTATACTCAAGGCTGCTAGATGATGGCGTGTGGTCTGTGACGCCTCATACTTCCCTCTGCTAAAGCAGATAAGGAGTCTGCTTGTAAACTCTGGGATTTAGGGATGAGCCATCTAGGGTGATGGACGCAGGAAGCGCAGCACTAGCTCATATGCCCAGAACACGGCCATGTTGACGGGGAACGCACGTAGGCAGTTGAGGCCCAGGCCCCTGAAGAGGACGCTGGGGCCCTCCTGGCGTACGCTCTCGGTGACACAGTGCACAAAGCCCCTGTACCTCCTCTGGGTGACGCTGTCCACCTGCAGGCGGGCTTTGATCACATCCATGGGCGTCCCCAGGGACCAGCCACACATGCCCGATACCCCTCCAGCCAGCATGATCACGGCCCAATCTGGAAGGGGGCACCCCAGCCCACCCACAAAAGCACACACATGCTCATCAGACGTTTTAAACCACATCCACATTACCTTGCTGGAGAACATCCAGCGAGGCTCCTCACCTGGTTGCTTCTGCTCTGCTGGTGTCAGCCAGCCACAGACGACATTGTAGGTCAGGAAGTATGTGGCAAAGGAGGAACCGTCACGTAGGGCCAGGGCTCCAGCGCCCTTGTACAGGCCCAGGAGTCCCTGCTCGCGGGCAATAGTCAGCAGACAGTGTATCGGCCCACGGTATTTGGGTTTCGAGTCCAAGGTCGAGCCCTGATAGGGCTCCGTCTGGCACTGAAGCTGCACTTTCACGATGTCAGCCGGGGACATCACCGATACCTTCATATGGTGAAGAGAAACAGTCCTATTGTGTACACTGGACCCTGAGGAGACTATTCACTCAATATATCTCTCAACTCAGTCATGTGACCATGGCCAATATCTCATATTGCATTCTGTTTTTTGCCAACCACAGGAAATAAAACAGACTAATCAGTGATAGTGTGCATTTATCCAGGAAAGAGACTCTTACAAAACATGTGCTTCTATCACTTAGAGTCCTATATTTGCACACCCAGAACATGTAGCATATATTACATCACCCCTTTACATCAGGAAGGGTTAAGGCCAGAGGACCGGCACTGAAAAGTTTAAAGGTTATTGTGAGGAATGCTATATTCCGCAGTGTCAGAGACATGCGAGCGGCACCCAAGTCGATCCTACAGCTCTTTTCCCGGAAATAACTTCTAATATTAAAGATATAGTATACACTTATACTATCAAATATTAAAAGCAGTAATATTTACAGTATATAATATGATATTGTGATCCACATCATTTTCAGTACTGTTTATATATTTTTTACTTAAATATCATTAAAAAATATTTCCATTTATTTATTCACAGCCAACTCGTGATTAACCAAAACCATGGATGCCACGTTGGGGAATCTGCAGTGGCGACAGTATATTGTGTATGCTATTAACTGCTGTGCAGTACCTGGGCCACACCCGCCGCCAAGCCCGACAGGAAGATGTCCAGTTTGTGGGGAGGGGTATCAGCACCCCCCCCACGCAGCATGCGAAGACCCTGCAGGCAGTTCCTGTAGGTGCCGAAGACCACCGAGGAGCTAATGGACACGGTGGTGACCGGCATGGATATGCCCTTGTAGAACCCATTCACCTGCAGCAAAAACAAATGCTTAGGACCCCTATCCTGGTCAGCGAATGGGCCAGGCTGTCCCCCATCACCTCGGCGACCGCTCACCCCTTCTGCTTTACATGTGCTGTGGACACAGTGCCACACCCCCGTGAATTTCCTCTGGGTCTGTATCCTCACCTGGGAAAAGCGCAAAGATCTGCCATCTACAGCACCAATGCATCTTCACTATGATGTGTATGAGTAAATAAGCTTTTACCTTCACTGTGTCCAAGGGATACCCTACAGCCACACCAAGAGCCCCTGTAAACAAAACTCAAGTTTAAGGAGAATGGAAGGACATTTCATCCTCAAATATATTTCCTTTGCATCCAATCTATTTTTTGTTATAGTATATTAGGTTTCAAGATATGCCTAATATTACACATTCTGGCCACATAACCTGTTATCTAAAACTACAGAACAATCTGCATGCATCTGCAGATATTTCAGTACAGTAAATACAGAAAATCCCTGACAAAGCAGTAGACATAATAAACACTAGAGGCTTATTGGAAGCCCTACAGTTTCAGACTGTCCAATATACTTTTAATACTTCATAGGTTTAGAAAGGCAAGCTCTTTTTTTCAGATTAATTAATTAATCCATTGCTTTCCCATCCATCTTCCAATCACTTATCCCGCAAGGGGATTGGCACATATCCTAGGCAGCATGATGCACAGGACTAGATCCGACACCAGTAGATCACGAGGTACATCGACGTACACATTCCCACGTAATCATACTGTATGGGCAATATACAAATACCAGTTAGCCTAACTGTAGGCTAGTAGGCGGGTTTTTAATCCTGGAGGTGTGAGGTTACCCACTGAGCCACCGTACTGCCCCGTTACTTTAAAGTTAAGCAGCATTAAAGAGGAAGATAGACATCTAATATGGGGGGGGGGGTTAAACCGTTATACAAGGCCGCCCACCTGGTTGAACATTTTGTATAGAAATACAGTATTATAACATCGGAAATTCACATTGCTGAAAAACGTTCTGCAGCTACGTCTTGCCAAAACAAGATGTAAAACATGAGCATTATTATTATTATCATCAAATGACTACATTTATGTAAAGCTGATCGTAAATGTAAACTATTACAAAGAAGCTCGTTCGCTTGTTATCTGTGACAAGAAATCAGCTGAAACGGGACAAACATTGCGACGAATCTGATTGGACGAACGGTCTGAGTCTGCAAGCACGGGCGAAATGACTTGGCATTTATTCACATTGAATATGCTTCTTAAAAAAATCTGTCAGGTGGAAGTTGTAACCTTTGTTATCAACATGAAACCTGCCTGGTAATCTCACGATTGGATGATCCTATTTACTAAAGAACAATTCACGACATCGGCCAATTAAACCGCGTGATGTGTTGCATCATACTGTAAGTGTCGGTGCTCGATCCTGTTGTAGCTAGCATGTAATCGGTTATTTTATTTACCTCCGATAGATCCAGCTATGAAATCTGCAAAATGCATCCCTCTTCTTTCTCACGAGTAACGCCAATTAATATTGTAACGAGTTAAATATCCAGCAATTTGCTCTTCGAATTTATTAGATACTCAATATTATCGTTTATTTACTGCACATAATGCACCCTTTAAGGTTTAAAATGTGATTTCCGTTTAATCACGAATCGGTAAGGTAACCTTAGTAGGCAACAGCAAGGAGACGTTTTAAATACAACGTCCTCCATACCATGCGGTTAGGAATTCTGATCCGGGCAGAGCCGAGTGTTGCCGAGTGTCCCGCAGTGTGTTTACTGTCAGACAGCACGAATTAGATCAGTAACAGTGCATTTGGAATTCAATGCAATGACTTTTACAATTTCATTCCCAACGTGACTCAATACTCAGTATGTATTAACATTATTTTACAAAAAAATATATGTGAAAACATATATAAGCATGTGTGTGATACAGAATCATGATCAGTTGTATTGGCCAAATAAGGTGACATTAAGAAATAATTTGACTTAACGTTTCGCTCCAATACAAACAAGACAATAAACATCCAATAATAAAACATAAAAGAAAATATAGGTATGAGGCAATAATCAAAACCCTACTGCAAATAATATACATATATACTCTAGATGTCTATACAACCTACAGTAGTTGTGACAAAAGTGAGAGTCAATAGTGAGATCCTTAAATGGTTGTGCAACGTTCAGCATGTAATGAAAAACTGGAATACTGTATGACATACTAAGCTTTGAATTTCAATTTCACAGTGTGGTTGAACCAGACTTTTGACATTAATGTTAGACAGTGCATTAACTCAAGAGATTTCTGAATATATACAGTGTACATTGTGTGTCAAGTTTAGCAATATACATAGTAATAAGTACTAAACATAATGAATGATATCAGTGTTCTTATCCTGTCTTAGGGGATTAAGCAGTATGTTACTGGGATGGAGATCCATGTGATCTGTCATTGAGGAACATCATAGCCCTTGGAAAGAAACCGTCTCTATGCTTGTAGCTTTAGTTTTAACAGTCCAATGCCTAACCCCTGAAGGTTGCAGCCGAAAGATAGAGTTGGCCGGACGTGTTGGGTCAGCTGCGATCTTCTTTGCTCTTTTCCTCTTCCAGAGGAAGGAGGCTGCATCCAATGATCTTTTATGCTGAAGTTTTGCCTTTTCCTTCGCAGTGCTTGATCCAAGCCACACAGTCATGGAGGATGTAAGGACAGACTCTGTGATAGCAGTGTGAAGCTGTGGCAGCAGTGTTTGTGGCAGCTTGAATTTCCTCAGCTGTTGGAGAAAGATATCCCTCTGTTGGGCCTTTTTGATAATGGAGACAGTGTTGACCTCCCATTTCAGGTTTGTGACATTGGGGTCCCAAGGAATTTGAATCATTCTACTTGGATTACCTCTGTGCCACTGATGATGAGGGGAAGTGGCTGGCAGGGTCGTCTCCTTAAGTCCACAACCATCTCCACGGTCTTCAGGTCATTTTTGCTGCAACTAGACACCAGCCAGGCCACCTCCTGTCTGTATGGTGACTAATTTCCATCTTGTCTGAGACCAATTAATGTAGTGTCATTTGCAAACTTTGGAAGGTTTACAGCGGTGTCTCTAGCTGTGTAGTGATTTTACATAATGAGCAGAGCAATGGACACAATACACGGCGCACCGGTGCCGAGGGCCAAGGAGTCCGAGGTGATCATCCCCATGTGGAGCTGTCCTAATGGACACGTCTCCAATGGAGGAAATGTCATGCAGTGTCATATAAGGTGCCCCAACAAATAGGTATGCTGGAGGTGCCCTTTGGGGGGCTTTCCAAGTGAGAAAACATGATGAGTGCCCTCCCAGTGAAGAAAATGAAATATGGTGGCCCACTCTGCCATGCAGTTCCCCATACATGCGAGAACACTATTTCACCATACCTAGTGTACCATACTATTATTAGTGTACCACGTGCAATGCGTGCTTTTTCTTCCGCTGCCCTGTCCTTCAAACAGTCAAGGTCTGAGTCTGCCACTGATAGCCAGTAATTATCATCAAATTTATTTATAAATCACATTTAAAAACATCATTTGTTGACCAAAGTGCAGGATCACCAAAAAGGAAGAAAAAGAAGAGAAAAAACAAATAATAATAATAATAAATAAAATGGGTATAAATGAAGATACCATTATCACATAAACAGCAAAGAAATATAAGAAACTAGGAATACTGATAGAAGGAGACGTTAAACTGTCAATATGACTTAAAAGCTAGAGAGTAAAAATTTGTTTTAAGATGGTATTTAAAAAAATGAACAGTGGGAGCAGATCTGATGGTTAGGGGGAGAATGTTCAACCATCTGGGGGCTGCAACCAAGAACGCACGGTCAACTTTTAGCTCCTGCTTGGAGTGAGGGATCAACAGAAAAGCCATCTCTGATGACCTGAGGGGCCTGGAGGTTGTGTAGGGACATATGAGGTCTGAGATGTGAAATGTGGCTAAACTATTCAAGGCTTTATAGACAAACAGTTGGAAATCCCCTCTCAAACTTTTCTAACTTACTCTACAAGAAACCATACATAATCTCCTTCTTGCAGGCATTTGGTCAGGGTGGTCTATTACTATATACTCCCAATAAGATATTATAACCTTCTTTAGTCAACTAGACTCCTAACTTGAGGCTACAGTCAAACCTAGCAGGTCTCATTTTACACTGGCACATAATCTTCTTCGTAAACTTACTTTAAGGAGTACCTGCATCAACACATTTCCTAGAAAGCGGCTTCTCACAATGAAAAATTACTTTTTATAAACCCAAGCAGATTGTTTACAATTATATACATGTTTGTAATATAAATATACTGCATATAAATGTGGATTCCCATAAAGCTGTCATCGATGTTATTTTTGACATTAATCATAAACAGGAAAAACCGACAGCTTATTTTAAGCACCCAACAAAAAATTTGCAGATTCACTTCTCTTCGAAACGCGACTACATAAAAAGAACGAAATATCGGCGTGTTCTCAACATTTATTTATCCCCTGAATAAGAATCAGGTGCTACTACATATATGGCGGATACTAGGTACCTAATGTCTGCAATGTCCACGTGTACACAAAAATGTTTGCATCATCTCCTCGCATCCACTGGCTGTTTGCGTGCAGCAACCTGTCATGAACCCAATTTTGTCAATAGCCTACGACGAAAACGTGTGAGAATACGTCAGTCATGTAGCCAATGGAAGCAAATAGGCGAAGAGGATTTAGGGGCGTTGTCGACTGTCAAGCGATACGATTGGCCAGCTTCTTCGCCCAAAAAAGGACATATAGAACTCGTTTTTAACTCACCACTGCTATACAGAAATAGAAAGCGCTAGAAAGGACAGGGGGTGCGAAAGATTATCTGCAGCTCGATAGAGCTGTATGTTATATGAATAAATCATATTCCTCAAATCATACCTGGCCAGTCATATTCAAGACTTCCATCCGACTCATTCGAGATCACAGACCAAAGCCCTAGGAAAAGTAAATTTAATTAACTGGAAGCACAGGCGATTTAACTACCTAGCTAGCTGAACGTAGTTGGGATTGAGGGGAAACGCACAACTTAAGGGAGAGGGATCGTGGTTCAGCAGGAAATCTCGACGGACTAGTGACTAGTTTAGCGGGATAAAAATTGTTAGCTAAGTTGTACAAGGGAATGGCACTGGACTTTGTTGCAGGATGCATTGGAGGTAAGTCCGAATATGGGATAAGGCGTTATAAAACGCGCGGCTGGCTAGCTGGCCGGCCGATTCAACGCTACGATGGACACATAAGCACAGAAAAACAGGCTAATCTTATAACCAAAGGGCGCTTTTGATTCTCTCCGCTTCCCAGGTTAGCGCTAAACGGAACTGTGTATTTGAATGGGGAGGGTTATCTAAGTAATTAATCAACTAAGAGGTATCTGCGGATTAAGGTGATTATCGTTTAAAGTACTACAGGTGCATATAGCTCGTTTCGTTGAGATGGTATCGCTGGTTTTATGAGCAATGAATGATAAATCTGTTTTTTTCCGATCCGGAAGTAAATTCCTGCCGGCTGGGGCATTTTCGGCGGTAATGAATCATAATTGGCAGTCTTGCCAAGTTCGAGAAAAGCAGCTTGCGGCACTGTTAGCTGCCTAGCCGGAGAGCTATCTGAGGTGCCGGTGTCGGGTTGAGATTCCCCTGAATTATACATGTACCGTTTCAATGCAGATTAGAGAAATGCGCATACAGAGATATTTAATGTAGCACAACATTTTTCCATTGATCAAGCCCACAAACATGGGCACTGATCCCTTATTTATAATACCAATGGGAATAATCTTGACTAGAAATTCAGCTTGATCTTTTTTTTTTAACCTCGTATTTTACGTCAGTTAAGTGTAGTTCAACAAGTCTTAGTATGCAGCGGTAGACTGTGCACCCGCAATGCTAGTTGACCAGTTAACTAAGGTGCAAGACCTAAAATTATGAGGAAGTAAATACTTCAACCTGGTGACCTAAATTTCATGCCTTATTTAAAAATTCCAGAGCCACGGGTTCGACGCATATTTTATGATCACATATAAAACATTCTTTTAAATGCTCTCGGCTGTACCTGCAAACAAACCTAGAGCAAAGTCTATCCTTAAATTGCGTATGACGCAATTGACACAGAATATAACTGCTTTCTGGATTTTTTTGTTTGCTATTGTTTAACTGTTCCTAAAGGTCCTAGAATTGTTTTCAAAGCCACCTTCTAAGGGTCAGAAACTTAATCAAAATATACAGCCTGTGAGATCTGTGGCCTGCACTACGAAGCGGGGTTACTGGCTTATCGGGGTAACTTGTCGGATTTAAGGTACCACAGTTTAAATTGACTACATATTCGTTCACTTACGTTTTGCCCAAGTTACCCCGATAAGCCAGAAACCCCGCTTCGTAGTACAGGCCACTGAGCTCCTCGACTAGGAAGCTCACACACGTTGCGCTGGTCTGTTGTTGGGGACTGTGCCCCCCCCCCCCGAAAGTTGAGTACCTGTTAGAGCAGCTTTAATTAGAAATGGCGTGACGACAGCTTCGTGAAACGCGCAGCTCACCAATGGCATATCCGCAGATACGAAACCGAAGGTGGAAATAACGCGCTGCTTGACCTTAGCTGCTTACAAAAGAATCAATATTACATGTGCGGCTTTGATAAGGTAGCATGTTGAAAGCATTCCTCTTAGATTTATGGACTATTCTAGAAATGGAAGAAATGCACATGTGTAAGTGATTCCGTGTTCTTTCCTGCACAGAAGAGCTTTACAATCTGATTTACCTGAGATTAGTCTGGTCCTGTGCTTTGTTTTGTAATCCTGTCTGAGGGAGTGTAGCAATTCAGCTTCTAAAGATGGATATAGACCTGCTGAATCATGACAAAAACCTCCCTTGCGAAATCTGCCTTGTGCCTTTTTGAGCTTGTTTATGTGCATGAGTTGTAGCCACAGGTGACATTTTCTTCATATTAATGATTAGTTAACTTCAAGGGTGAAGAATGCGTTGTCTCTCTAAGTCATATGATTAGTACCTTTTCATTTGCAAAGGCATTTGAAAGTTTCAGGTTTCAACCTTGCCTACTGATTTTAATCTTTTTCCTCTTATTTACATAAGAGGAACATAGATGTGACTTGTGAAGGCCACTGGTTTCTGTTGATAGGTGTAGAATGCCTCCGAGACCTTGACAAGGAACTTGTTGAACTTGTGACTGGTCATTGGGCAACTAGGCATGCGGTCTCTGGAAGGCATGTTCTTTTTGCAGTACCAGAAGTTATGGAGGTGCACCGCCCTTGTAGAACCTGTTCAACCAAATTCCACAGCGAATGTGACTACTGTAACATTTGGCACCCTCGTCTCATTTGCATGCTTCAAGGACAACACGGCTCCTGCCATTGGGTCCTCTGAAGGCTGATGGCTCATCTGTTTCACAAATGAGACTGGCTCTGGGAATGGCCAGCTTTTTGATTCGTCTAGATGAACAAGCCCCTCTGGGTCAGATAGGATTACTCGCTTTGTAATTGCTGCTGGAGAGACGCTTGTCTGGGTTCAGTACCAGAAATAACTGTTGGCTTAAATCTGCTACGGAGATTTGCATTGCATTAAGACCTATGACTGGGTGTCCTGGCCAACATCAGGAATGTGCCATTCCATGAAGGCCAACCATGAAAGATACCATTAAGGATTTGTGGGCTTATAGGTGTCGCCTGGAAAACGACGCTATGTTCTCTCTTATATATGTTGCTATAAACATTTCCCTGAACTGTAATGAATACCGTCATTACTTAAGTCATATCATTTTACTGTGATAGCGGTAACCAAGCATTTGTGGCCGATGTAAACATTTGATTGATGTGATTTGCTTGATGTGAAGATTGTCCCCATTTAGCAGTAGGTTAATGAGGCTCATGTGAGTCACTGGTTCTGGTCTATAAATAATACCTTTCAAAAAGATCAGCGTGAACATTATTATGCTAATCACTACTTTCTGTTGTAAACCTCGTCTCTTGTAGAGTACTGGGAGCTGCGTCTTGCGCCTTCCTGTGAATCCAATTTCTTGCTTTCCACGCCAATCATGTAACTCAGTGCTGCTATTGCATCAGACAGTTCACAGCTTGATGCACGGCTGCTGTAAAAAGGCCCTTTCACCCCATTTCGCGCAGGCAAATCTGAACAGACTAATTGCTGTTCCTACTTTTGACTAGGAGGACAGGAGGTACTTTTGATTTCAGAGCAATTTCTGATGACTGCTGGGCTATTGATTCTATTAAGCATATGATGGATCTCAAGAGCCTCAGAAATGGATGCAGCCTAATATCTGTTCTGTGTTTACAGGTGCTGCTGGTGTTTTGGTAGGACACCCCTTTGATACTGTAAAGGTGGGTTTTCCTATCTAATGTCTTATTTGCTTGCCTGTACATTTGTTGCATGGACAATTTTTTTTTTTCCCCCTCAATGATTGTCGAATTATATTTGAGGTCTATTGGGGTGTTTTGGGGGCCTTAAAAACCAAGTAGGACAACCGGTGAAATCTTCAACATAAGCTACCATCAAACCTCAAAACGAAATGCTAATTTGCTAAATGCTAATAGTATGTACAAAGTGAAGCCATGTGCTTTATAAAGGCAATCTGCTGTCTGCATTGCTTTTGTTCTCCCAGTATCAGTGTCTTCCTTGTGGCCCAGTGAGTCGTTTGTATCCCCTCCGGTTTTTTCAATTTCGATTTATTTTTCCAGTCGAGGTGGACTCTCCACGCGACTAAAAAAAAAAAAAACACGTCAAACGAAATCTTGCTCCGGCAAGAGTGGAGAAATCGGTGAATTGAGCAGAATGTGCTTCCTGTGCTCACGTCGTCTTGCACGTGAACGTGGCATTGCATGCTTAGTGTTCAGTCTGAGACACCGGACGAGTGTCCATGTATATAATGTGACAATCATTTGACACACTGAACAGTGAGTGAGACTGCATGATGGGTACTCTGTGCTCAGCAGCTGTTCAGTACGTTTGGGGGGGATGTGCAAGCTCAGTTTATTTTTCCAGATCCACACTATGAACAACTAAATGTTCTCAAGCCTTTAATCTCCTGCATCCTTCCACTCCCCCCCCCCCCCCCCCCCCAATAACTCACCAACTAACCTTCTAACCCCAGGATGTGTGTGGAATTAGAAAGACAATCATGTCTGTTAAGATGAACTGCAGGTATCCCCCATTTTCCCTGCTCTCTCTCCTCTTTCTATAACCTTTTTAGGGATTCTGTATTTTTGAATGCTATGTTTTGTTAACTCCAGGATCCCCCTGTATACAAGATGCCACACCCGACTTGCCGGTAACATTTTCGAATAAGTGATATATATCTTTTTTGTATTTCTCATTCAGTAAGTCATTTGGCTAGGGAGTCTTAAGGACAATTGTGTATTGACTCATGTGGTTGACGTGGAAGCCAGTAAAATTTTCTTGTTCGACGTTTATTACATGCACCAGTTTCTTGGGCACCACCTACAGGCCAATGGTGCCCTTTTAAAATATGAGACTTAAATGACATTGTCATCTTAAAACACCTCTCTATATAGTTGTAGCAATACAGCATTTTAACCAGAGCTTTTGTCCTTGTAAAACACTATTTAAAACAGATCTGCCCCCCCCCCCCCGCCCCTGTTGTAGTTTTACCCGTTATAGGCAGCAATATCTAGGCAGATCGACTTTTAATCTCATGTGATGGTTGTGAGTAGCCAGTGAAAAATATAAACCTAGAATTTAACAAAGCATTTAACTGGACAACAATCATTGGGCAGGTTGTTAATGCAACTCATGTCCTCACCATTAAATGATTTAGTGATGCCAGCATAGGTGTTAATAGATGAATGTTGTTGTCCTACCAAGCTGATAGGCATTTCCCTCTGAAATCCCTGCCCATCTGTGTGAATTCTTTTGCTATTCTTCATTAGCTGCAGCACTCTGTAGCTTTTTGATCAGGAGAGATTGAGTATGTTTCTCTGTCTTAACGCTTGACACATTGTCAGGTTTTATTTTTCATCTCGGTTTGCCTTGTTGCCTTTAACTGACTTTATCTCTGAGCCAGGGGCTGTCCTTTAACAGCAAAAGTGTTACTTTGTTGTAGATGAAAGTGAGGCTTACACTACCTCTTCACGGAAGTGTTACCTTGTAAGTACAGTCAAGGTCAATCCTTCTGTTTCTCTCAGTCTTTGTTTTGTGACCAGAAAAAAAGGAAGATCCAAAAGAGAAAAAAAAAAACAAAAACTAGTCACTCATTGATCGCTCAGTTAACATAACCACCTTTCTTTCCAAAAGTAACACACAAGACTCCATCTTCACCCACTTCATTGTAAAAGAGAATTTGGATTAAATTGTTTCTGGTTCCCCACAGTGTTATGTTGGTAGACGTAAAGGTTTCCTTGTTGTCAGGAGTGTTAAATGTAGGCGCTGGTCGGGACGCTGAGCCCTTGGCTAACTGGAGGGCTTCTGTTTTTCCAGGTGCGACTGCAGGTGCAAAGTGTGGACAAGCCTCTGTATCGGGGGACTTTTCACTGCTTCCAGTCCATTGTACGGCAGGAGTCTGTGAGTACAAATCCGTCGTCTATCAAAGGTCATTTTGCATGTGTGTGTACCAATTGTTTGAGGTATGGAGGTTTGTCAGAACCAGCCTCTGCCAGTTGTCCCTGGTACCGGGCAAAGTAACATGCAGGACGGTGGTATATTAAAAACACACAGAGCTGGCAGCTGAACAGCAGATGAAATGGGGGCGTGATCGGCTCCTGGGTTAAATAAAGCCTCACCGCTTTCAGGGGGCACATGGCTGTACAGCACAGATAAGCTGGCCTGTGGTGCCAGGAGGCATCTGGAAAAACCGGGGGGGGGGCTGAGTACTCATACCAGGCTATCCGCTGAATTCTGGATGAACTGCCAGTAAGAGAGAGTATTGATTTCAGCAGCCATGTTGTCAAATAGCAGATTAGCAGTCCTATAGCAAGGAACTGACCTTCAAATGCCGGCCTCACCTTGAACTTCCTTACATGAGCCTTCAGATCTACGAAGGGGTGTCTGTTGAACTTGTGTTCACTGGGTTGACCTGAATGGATGTTAGTAGATGGAAAATGAAACCTGAAGACCGAGAAAGGCTTGTCAGTTATGGATAAGTGCTGGCAGTGAGCCAGTGACTCGGAATGACAAACCTGTAAAAGCATGTGCTGCAGACTTCTGGGTTCGAGGAAATGCTTGGAACAAACCCAAACTGTCTACACGGCTGAGGATGAGAGACAAATACAGGTGGTGACTTCAACAGTGAATCGCTCGGTGATTTCTCAGGGTCATGTGGCTTGTGGCAGGACTTGTGACCGAAAGGCTTCTATCCTGAATTGTCAGCTTTTCCACTGCCACTAAGGATAGAGCTGTACAGCAACCGAACCAAGAAGAGGTTCATGTAAAGTTTTGCGTGCCGTTCCCGACCCTTACCCAAGCTGACATGACCCTGCTCACTAGCAGGCTAATAGTGCACTAGCACCTGATGCTAAAATGACATGGCGATTCTTACATGCATGCTAGCGGTAATCAGCACATAGTAAATTAAGATGTACACTATGTGAGCAGTAAATCGTTTCTTCGGTTTTACGTCACTGTCACCCTCCAAACCCAGCAACGCCTTTACCGAGCCAACCCTTCTGCACTGGAAAATTGAAGTGAGCTGGAACTGCACTGTAACAAATCTCATCGCAGTATGGCTTGGTTCTTGCATGCTGGTGGAAAAGCATCGTAACAAGGGAAAACAGTCAAGGCACTTCATTCTTGTAATGTGAAGGCCAGCGGCAATTTGAGCATAATTGTTACGATGCCGAAAAAGCAGTAAAATGTAAACATCAATACAATTGGTTTTACAGGTTTAAAAATGTATAAATGTATCATTTATTAATAGATAACTGAAGGGTTTTCACAGACATCCTTGCAAAGGTCCTATAAAACCTGTTACAGCAGGTTCCTCTCTGTTCTGAAAAGATGAATCTTATTAGGCTGTTAGTTTGAAAGTACATGACAAGCCGACGTGTTATTGGGGACGGTCCTTGCTGTCCCCTACGGTGACTTTGCTGATTAGCAGGAGGAGCACAGCATAACACCAAAAGGGCCAATATTTCATTTCCTGCTACCTTTAATGATGGGTGCAGTACGCAATTACCAGCTATAACAGTAACTTGAGAGCATTAGCTTGCCGGTCATACCCATGTGTCTACTTGAATAACAGACTACAAACCTGCTGCTCCTTTTGAGCTTTGTGGCCAGCTGTTTGTTGGGTCTGCAATACTGAGCTCAGGCGCTTATAAAAGGCAGGTTCACAGATGCATCAACAGAACTAGGTTTGCAACCCAAATATCTGCTCTGTCATTACCAAAACATCCACTCCTGGCTTCCTCCTAGATTAAATCATTTTTATTTGCCATCTGTACAAGTATAAGTACAGGTGCATTGGAATTCTTCTCTTCGCCTCCCCTGTCTTGCTGGCCATAGATTGGAGCACAGGATCAGCCAGCATGCGGCACCCCTGGAGCTGGGGGGTTAAGGGTCTCGCTCAAGGGCCCACGGACACGTGACTGTTCTGCTGAGGCTCAAACTGGTGATCTTCTGATCTGGTGATCTTCTCAGAGGCTTAGCCCGCAGAGCCACTCACCACCCCTAGATGACGCTGTTGTTCTCCCTGTGTGTCTTGCAGATGTTTGGGCTGTACAAGGGCATCGGGTCGCCTATGATGGGCCTAACGTTCATCAACGCCATCGTGTTTGGCGTCCAGGGCAATACCATGAGGCTGCTGGGCCAGGACACGCCGCTCAATCAGTTCCTGGCGGGGGCAGCGGCCGGGGCCATCCAGTGTGTCATCTGCTGTCCCATGGAGCTGGCCAAGACGCGCATGCAGATGCAGGGCACGGGCGAGAAGAAGTCCAAGAAGAAGCTGTACAAGAACTCCCTGGACTGCCTGGTGCGCATCTACAACAAGGAGGGGATGCGGGGCATCAACCGCGGCATGGTGTCCACCTTCATCCGCGAGACGCCCGGCTTCGGCGTCTACTTCCTGGCCTATGACATGCTGACGCGCTCGCTGGGCTGCGAGCCCGAAGACCCGTACATGATCCCCAAGCTCCTCTTCGCCGGCGGCATGTCGGGCATCGCCTCCTGGATCTCCACCTACCCGGTGGACGTCATCAAGTCCCGCCTCCAGGCCGACGGCGTGGGCGGCGTCAACCAGTACAGCGGCATCATGGACTGCATGCGGCAGAGCTGGCAGAAGGAGGGCTGGCGCGTGTTCACGCGCGGGCTCACCTCCACGCTGCTGCGCGCCTTCCCGGTCAACGCCACCACGTTCGCCACCGTGACTCTCTTCCTCATGTACATGAGGGGCGACGTGGGGGGGCTGAAGGAATGCGAGCCCGCCCCTCATACCATGCAACAGCAGGCACAGCCCTCTAGCCTGTGACTGACTCGAGTCATGGGTCCTACCCCTCTTCCCTTGCTCACTGAGAGCGCCCCCTTCTGTCCAGCAGTCGTCATGGCCTGCATGAGAGAATCAAACATGGACAGACCTATTTTTATAACTACTATATGCAGAGTGAAACTCTATGCATGTAAATATAACATGCCCCCTTTGGTTTTTATTTGCTTTTTAGTTTTTTTTTCTGTACAAAGCAATTTTTTTTTTATTTACGGTTTTAGGTCTTTGCCTTACTTTGACATTAAGGAGTAAGGATGAGGGAAAAAAATGCGATCCCACCACCCCCCCCAAAAAAAATGCTTGTCAGATATTAAGAAGTTAATCACTTCTGGCTTAATCATCCCACCAGTTAAAGATGCTCTTCGAGGGCCAGTCTGTGCTGGATTGATACGCTGAGTCTCAGTGTAGCGTAAAGGCCACGTGCTGCTATAATGCACAGCATCTCCGGGGGCTTTCCAAAGGGGACAAGGACAGAAGAATTATTAGTGAAACTGAAAGTCTGCCATCCCACAGCTGTCCGCAAGGAAACTGCTGTGTGGCATTGCCCACGCACGAAGGCTGGGACGCGGCGACATTCCAGTGTGCCGTGGGGGGGGGCATTGCCAGGGCATGCCGCAGCCCGTTTCATCAGGGTCATCTCCGATGAAACCGCCAGTAGAGAGAATGCACCGAGGTGAAGCGTAAGTGTCACCCGGCTGGCATAGGAGTTAGTGGAATACGCCAGGTAGGTCTGGGTCAGTGGAACTGGGAGGAGGAACAACGCTGACCCTGCAGAAACCCAGCAGCGATTTGCAAGCAGACTGAAGTTCTGAAGTGGCATCAGACGGAACCTACAGCCTGTGAAATGAATGTTTTCAAATTTGAGGTCCTGGTCATGTGTGAATGTATATAATGTCCATGTTGTGGGCAGTATGATCTCCCAACTTTCATCCTTATTTTTGTTGACACTATGCCCTGTATTTAAGTGTGGTTCTCTCGAGTGGACTGTCCGAATACATTATTTATTTCCCTGGTTTCCTCGTCTCCCTAAGTATGGGCTCCTGAAGTTTCCTCTTCACGAGTAAAAGGTTTAACTTTGTTAAAGATTATCAAAGCCTTCCACATTTTCTCACATTAACTGCCTTTTGTTCGAGACAATAAGAGAGCAGAGTCTGCGAAAGCAATTGGAGCGGAGAATCTTGGATTTCGGTCATTCTGCACGTGGGTGACCTCCCTTCCAAGCCAAAACTTTCTGGAAGTAACGTTCTGAGGAGAACGGCTTAAGTTTCCTGAGCGACGCTGCTCGTTTAGGGAATGGTGCAATATTTACGTCCGTCGGTGTTTTGTGTGCTCGTTTGCGTGTTTTTGTTTCCGTGTCACACAAAAGGAAAAAGCTGTTATTTTTTTAAATTGCGTAACCAGGATACTGGCGCTGTTTCCTGTGGGGTTTGGAACCCAAGATGCCTCCTGCTACAAAGGTTTGTATGTTACTGGACAGGCATGACTACTGAAAGCAATCTATTGTGTAATATTAAATAAGGGCTGAAACTATTTGAGGCAATCTTTCTTGGTAAACAAAAGTAGGCACATCAGGTTAGACAGCTATGCAGTAACCTGAAATGGTCAACCTGCCTTTTACCAAAGAAATAAAAATACATCTAATCCTGTATGCATTTGTTATTTCTTGGAATATAAACTCTTTCCCCTCATACCAGTAGTGCATCACCATCTCAAACAGAATATGTTTGAGGTTTATTTGGGTTTTCTAAGAAAAGAAAAAAAATATTGGCTAACCTGCATTTGAAACTGCAGGCCACAACCACTGTTAGCTTGCTTTAGTCTTGTCATTTTAAGTTTTGCTGCACCCTTGTGGCCATATCTAGTCACTGAATTTATATTCACCCTTCGAGAGACGTTTTTCTGGTAGCATGTTAAAATGGTAATGAACTGCTTACAGACAGCCTGTTTATGCATGTCAACATTTGAAAAACCAGACAAAATTCATACACATCAGTGATTATATAGAATGGATGTATGGAGTGTTGCAACTTTCATTTAAGTGTAATTCTAAAAAACAAGTGTAGCAATCATTAACCAAGGATCTGGAAAGAACAACAATTACATGGCTGAGTGAAGCTGAATGTCTCGTGCAAGAAGGCTGCTGTCAGGTGCATCTTAAATCGAAACAATGTTTTTTTAGTTTGTTTAACCTCCATTAATGTGACTCCTAAACCTGCAATTTGAATTGCAACCACATTTTTAGCCAAACACTATTAAAAACCCAAAAACCAAAATGTAGAAATTAAGCTTAATTCAGTGTTGCTTTGTTTTGGGCCGAGTTAGTAAAAAAAAAAGAAAAAAAGAGCGTTTTTGCTTAGCTATCATTTTTTAATTGCCAGTTGGTGTGAAGCCCTAAAATAAACAAATATACAGTTGTTTATGTAGCAAAAATAACATAACTGAGAAAGCAGGGTCGGCCAGTCAAGCAATTTGGGGTCAAGGGTCTTGCTTAAGGGGCCCAACAGGGAAATCACTCTGCAGCCTTCAGAGTCCTCACTTGCTTGTCCTCACCTGAACTAAAATCGACTAAAATCACAGATAAGCTAATGATAAAGCAAGTACCATAAATACCCATTTGCCAAATAAACATGTATGCACAAGGGGCACCATTGAGCTTCAAATGATATGCTATTTGTCGCTGTCCCTAAACAGCAATGCCTCTGAATTCAGTAGTGTACGCCAAGTTTAAAATAGACATTTTTAATATGGGTCTCTCAAAACCTAACCTACAATTATTGATTTTAACAATTTTTTATATCGTATAAATAAATGAAACTAAGTATAGCAATATACTAAGCATAGCAATATCATTTGTATAAACCTGGGAGTAGTTACTGAAATTAAATAAATGTCATTATCTACACTAAAATCAGAAAATTTAATTTTCATATTGAATCTATGGAGTGTACTTTTCCAGGGGTAATCTAAGATTCCTGTGAGCTCTGAACCAATGGAATCCATTATGCCCTAATAGTACTTTTTTAAGATTAGTCTAAAATGAACCTCTGACTTGCAATTATTATAATAATAATAATACATTTTATTCATGGGCATCTTTCAGGGCATTCAAGGTCACCTTACATGAATTAAACAACTTAATAATAATAAAAAAACAATAAATAAACTCTATACTTGATCAATTATACAAGAGTGACAACAAAACAACAATTCATGAGAGAGAGAAAGCTCATTTAAACAGATGAGTTTTAAGGCATCATTTAAATTCAGCAATTGAATCCAATTGGCTATTCACAGGAAGAGAGTTCCAAAGCCGGGTGCTGAGCAGCGGTAGGCCGTGTCACCCGTCACCCATGATGCTAAGTCTATTAGAAGGAACGGCTAGTAGTTCAGCCGAGGAAGAACACAGACAGCGGGGGCGGAGTATAAGGGTGTAAAAGATCAGCGAGGCTTTAAAAATAAGCAGAAGTATCTTATACTCAATGGGAGTATACTGAGGGAGTGTTGGGGGGAAAAGGTCACTAGTGCGAGTGATAATATGAGTGGTGGAGTTTTAGGCAACCTGGAGCCTATCAAGTTATTAATTTGGGCTCCCTGCAATAATCACAATGCAATAGATTATACAGGGAGTAACCATGGCACGAACAAGAATTTCTGTGTCTCTTTGAGCGCTGGGCATAGCCTAGCAATGCTATGAATGTAGAAAAAAGCTATTTGCAAAACGTAAAAGGCAGACATGTTTTGGGAATCTGAGCTATGGTGTCCAATATTAGGAATCTGGACCTGATGGTAAGCAAGTAAAGTAACCAATGGATTCTATCAGTTATCAGCATTGCACAGTAATACTGCCTAACCATGTGTTCTTAGCTATATGCTGTATAAAGCAATATGTGCGGCATATGCACATAAAATACATGCTCTGCTGCGACAAGAAATTACAGTGCGTATTGCTTTATACAGCAAATACGTATTTGCACACCAGCTTTGTGCTTCCCTGGCCATTTGATAGTGTTACTGCATATTACACCTAGATGGGAATCAATAATGTTTTAAAACTGAAATTAAACTACTGGCAAAATATACCTTTTTTTATTTGCACTGTTTAGACTTCCTTTGTACACAAAACATAATGACATTAAGAAAACTTAAATCTCCACAGGAAAAAGTAGCAATACTCTTCGTTAGGCCCTTCATGAGTAGTCACTGAGGGTCACAGATTCTCACCCAGAGTCTGTCTGAAACAGCTAAAGTGCAAAATGTAGCAGAGAGGCAACTTTACCCTGCCGGCGGTCCATTGCCAAGTTGTCTTTAAAGTGCAGACTGAGGAAAAACAGCACAGTTTGTGGTCTTACATGCAGTTCAGAGGTCAGAGGTTAAAGGTTACGCTTCCTGGTGCCCACACCGTCAGGCAGCAAGTCCGGATCGCAGGGGTAGCGTAAGCAGCGGAAGATCTCCTCTGCTCTCTGCCGGCTCACATGGGCTCTGTCCATCAGGGACTCCACCGAGCTGAGGGACACCGGGGGAAGCTTCAATGCTACCATCGTTACACCAGTCTTATGAGTACAGCTGCATAGCCACATAATCAAACCACCGGGCTGCCAACTCTGGTCAGCTGGTTGGAGTGAGATTTTCAATTTGTGACACGTCTGCACACGCATTTACATGCAAGTAACAGGTTTATTAACTTGCAAATAGTAGGGTTTGCAAATCAGCCCAGCGCTTTTGATGTAGCTAATTTTAGGCTTAGCATGAAATAAAACAGATTTGTCGTAAGATTTCTTGCGTGAGCGTGACAGGCGTGAGTGTCACGCCAGATGCGTGACAGTTAGCAACCTTGACACAGTATGCGCTAGTCACCGATAAGCAGCTGAAAACCTGAGGATAACAAGAACTAATGAGGGGAAATAACTAATAATATGGTGTTGGTTAATGTATAGGGTCTAAATGTAGGTTAGTTGAGCATGGATGGAGGCTTGTCGGGAGAAGACAGGAGCACTACCTGTCCACTAGGTGGCCCACGGAGCGGAAGGCATGGCACATGTGGAGGGCGGTGACGTAGCTGACGCAGGGCAGGGTCAGGTAGAACTGCAGAGCCTGCTGCTTGTGGCCCTCGACCTGGGTGGGCACGCTGATGGCCTGGCCTTTCCGCTGCTCCACGTGAGCAAGCTCCGCCAGCAGGCCAGCCGTCTCCTCGGGCCCGCCGCTGAAGAGCAGGCGCACCCCCACCCGCACCAACGCCGCCAGCGTGCCGTCATAGTAACGAGTGGGCTGGAAGGGGCGCGCAGCATCTCCTGCCGGGGTGGAGGGGGGTCAACGGCAAGCATTTAGCCAAGAATTGGCCAGATCCCGCTTTTTAATGTGCTTGAAAACATGTACTTTTAAACCAACATAAAAAACTATCTAGTTCATTATGGAATGTTTCTGTACTATACAATGAGATTTATAAGCAAAGAATTATGGGACAGAGGAGGGTTTGGAAGGAAACCAAAATTCCCAGAACATTTCCAAGCAAGCCATCCTTATTCAGTGTGTCCTAGTCAGTGTTTTCATACCTTATGTGTCAAGTCATCGCTTCAATTGTTAAGCCTCTCTATGACACACCAGCTTTTTAAGGATTCATTATTCTTTGAGAGGAGTTAAGAAAGAAAAAGCAGCACTTATTTCACCCTGAGCCCTACGGGCATGCAGTACAGCTCAGGAATATTTCAGGAGTGGCAGCAGGTGAAGTCGTGGTTAAACGCTTACAAATCTGGGTGTGAAAAACAGAGGTGCTTCCTGTCAATGCGCGTGTGAAGGTACTGTACGTAACCTTTGTCATGGGAATTGACAGCCAGTGCTAAAGATGTCAGTTAAAGATGCACTGCAGCAGGGCCAGTCATTCTGCCTAAAAACTAACTGCTGAATGAAAAACCTAACCTAAATATATATAGTTTTGTGTCTTCCCAAATAGACTCTTAGAAAGCAAAACTGAATTATCGGTAGAGACAGAACATAAAACTGGCACTGTGTCATCCTTATGCTTAAGGAGCTTTGAGATTAGAGCGAGTAGTTTCAGTAATGCTGGTGAAGTCCCTCGTCAGTCTGTGTGGCGGTTCTGTGGGCAGCACCATCATGTCTGTATGCATGTGCGCTGCGGTGGACCGGCATCTTGTCCATGGTGTACCCTGCCTACTGCCTGGGATGAGCTCCAGATCCGGCGGCTAAGTCGGGGGAAGACAGCTTATGGAATCACTCTTGTTTTGCATGCTTATCAGCGCGAAGCAGGACTGTTCAGCCCAGCGTAGCCCACTGACCCGGCTTGACGCGGTCCTTCTCCAAGATGAGGCAGACCCGGTCAAAGAGGACCTGCAGGCCTTGCACTCTTTCCACCAGACGCTTCCGGTTCAGGCTGCTGGCCACCTCCGACTGCGCTAGCCTGTCCACAGCTAAGCGGCAGCTCACCGCGAAGTCACAGGCGCCCAGCGAACAGACCTGCGCACTCAGGCCGTGGCGCCGCCTCAGGCAGGACACGACCTCCGTCCCGCCTGCGATGCAGCGGCTGTCCACCAGCACAGAGAGGGGCTGCTGAACTGGGGCTGCGCCCCCTACTGGACCCAAACAGGCTCTGTTCTGGCCATCACTCATCACATGCCTAGAACATCTGGCCTGAAACAAAGAGCAAATGAGATCAACATTTATTAACCAAATGTAACAGCTGAAAGGATGTCCAAAACAGGTCAAATCTATGAACAATTAAAACAATCTGCCGTAGCTACCATGTAACAGTGCTCTAATGGTACTTGTCTGTTCTTCTCTAATGGTACTTTAATGCTCTTTGTTGATCAGACTTCTGTATCAATATTAGCTAAGTAGGTCTACCAATGGCGGAGACAGAAATCATAGTCGGCTGGCAGAAAATTAAATGGGCCAGTCTGAAAATAATTCACCTAGGAATAAAATCTCACTACAGTCTCAACTACATATTTTTCCCCCCCCAATCGGTTTTTAAATGGCCTGTGGCATTACTAAGACCAAGAGAAATAAAAATCTATTTGCCTTTCAGCAGCACTATGCCTGTGATTGGTCTAACCACACACACACTAACCTAGCAGACGCAATCATTTTATCGCACGTTTAATCGCTCGCTGTGAATGCTGAATAGGCCCAGGACCATGCGAGCTCATGCTAGATTTATACCCTCCTGTTTGAAATTTGTCATTGGCTGGGACTGTTAGGTCTCCCTCCTGTCTGGCTGTTTGATGACACCCAGGTTTGTGTGCGTTTGTTACCTGTGATTCTGCAGGTCGGGACGGCGTGGAGTCAACCGGCTGGAAGTCGAGGGCCTCAGACACCGACGCCTGAAGGTTTAGTCTCTGCTGGCACCTCTCTAACAGAGAGGCCCCTTCCATCGCACTGAGCGCCAGAGCAGGCTGCCCGGGGCCCGCTGGTGGCGCTCCAAGAGGCGCCTTGAACACAGACTCCTTTGTCATATCTCGCGGCCCACAGGGGGGAGCAGCATCGTTGTCAGTCACCTTTTTCCGTTTTCCGGGGACTTCTTCATCGCTGGAGTCTTCCATGTGCATGATGCGGGAGCGCTTGGGTTTCCTGGAGGCCTTGGAGCCTGCCTCCTCCCGGGTCTCCTCCCGTGCCTTCTGGAGCCGAACCCGCCTTCGGGTGGTGTACACTCTCCTGTCCCCGATGAAGGACTCCTCTGGGAGCAGATCCACCATGCTCACCTCCTCCTCCTCCTCACTGCTCCGCAACTCTTCCTCCTCACTACCCTGCACCACAAAGCTGTCCTCCCCGTAAGTCTCGTCCTGTTCTGGCACCTGAGGGCACATCCACAGGCCTCAATGCACCACTCTGTAAGCTCTCTAGCGCCCCCTGCTGGCCCCTGAGCCTCATGTCCATGGCCTTTGCACAAGGTTCCCTTTGATCCACCTCTACCTGCAGCCACATCCCACAATTCCCAGCTGCCCATGTTGCAGGTTGGCCTGCACACAGATCCAGGCACTTCACTCATACCCTCATACCCAACCATCTTCCTCACTGCACTTAGCAACAAAGCATCCTGATAACCAAGCATCAGTATACTGGAGTCCGCATGACCCCATACCTACTCAGGACATTTGGCCCATTTTTGTTATTAGACCATGAACCCCCTTGTATCATACACTGAAATCAGAACCATATCCACACAAACCAACCAGCCAGTGAGTATAGCCAGCTTCACCAAGAAGATGCCCCGTTACCTGAGAAAAGACGTCCATGTTGTGTTCAGCCTTGTACGCCATCTTGAACTTATTCAGCACAGCGGGACTTTTAATCGACTTCAGGTAAACTCCCCGCATCTCTGAATCTGAAACGGCATGTCAGACATATGCAGCAGTGTCAGCTTAATCGCTACACATAGAAACGGATGCTCTTCATGGCACTACTGAGAAGCTGCGATTTACTGTTGATAGTGTCATGATTTGAAAGTCGTTGAGCTACCATTGAGGCCTTGAGAGAAGTGACTGCTGTTCACCACGAAGCCCTCCAGTGATCCATCCAGGTCATCCTCCACCTCGTCTGAGGAGACATCCCCACCGTCCTCAGACAGCTCTGCTTCCTGGTCCAAGTACTCACGTGCCCTGATGGCCTTCACCTTCTGGGGAAGAGAGGGGGACGGCCAACCAGGTGGGTTCATCAGCCAACGAGAGAAGCAGGGCAGCTAGAGAGACCGCAAGTCTCATTTTTGGTTAGCAGCCATGTCACCTTCTTCTGACTTGGTGAGCGTTCCCGGCAGTGCGGAGCCCGGAGGTTCCTTACGGAGACGTCCTGGAAGTCCTCATCCGACAGCCGCTCTCCTTCACTCTCCCCCGACTGCAACAGCAAAGCCAGATGATGCAGGCAGAGAACAGCTATGCTTCACCCCATTCACTGTCATAGTATTTATCCAGTTAAGAAAAAAATACCTTAAGGTCAGTAATGACTGGAATCTCGATAAGGATCTACAATAAATGACATTTAGGCTCAGAAGCTCACACTATAGCCTGCCTTGTCAAAAACAGAACTAAAATCATTTGGTCTTTTATCCATGCAGAATTGCGCATCTTACTGTGTTCAGGACTGCCACGCGCCTCCGAGTTACTCTCACGGGCGTATCCATATCACTGCAGCTCTTAGCCTAAAAAGCAAGACAGAGTCCTCAAAGGGGCACCAGCCTGGAGAGTATAATGCATTTCAGTCTCAAAAAAAAACTCCGATTTCCATTTACATAGACTGTATGTCTTCAGATACACCTTTGACTGATAGACATGTATGTTCTACTGGGAGCTGGGAGGGAGCAAAAATATGGACTGTCTGTGGGTCCTTGAGGACCGGGTTAGGAAACACGGATCTAGAGCATCAGTCTAAGCACTATAACACTCAGAAGCCCAGCATCTCTATAAGTACAACCTTGTGAACTGGACACACAAGACACATGAAGGCTATGGAACATTAGGCTTTCAGGTACACATCCCTCAGTTAAAGGTATCCCTAATTGTGCTGCTGCATGGAAAGGGAATATACATCAGAACTGCCTGCTGCCATGACAACCCCAACATTCAATAAAGGCAAAGGGCAGCTGGCTGAAAGTCTTTGTCCACCGTTCTTTGTTTGCCTCTGGTATTTCTGCAGTTGCTTTCAAAACTGTAATGTAACTAAAACAGCAGCGAGAAAACTGAAACAGGCATCACCGAGAGGCTGAAGTTTTAGAGAACTCTGTAAAAATCAATGCTATGGTCAACGAAGAACCAAGAAATGTCACGGACCTACAAACAAATACGATCAGTCGTGCCCACGTGCCTCCCAGCATCTCAGACACATGCAGACATGTGTGGCACGCAGCTACCACATGCGAATCGTGTGCTGCCGGAACTGCCACACGTCAGCGAGTCCCAAAGCTGCACTGAGCTACTCCGGATAATGTGAGGACCGCAGTGGGCAGGAAACTGACCTCCGGGGTCGCAAGGGGGTCCACCTTCCCCCGTCTCCTGGGGGCCACCACCTCATCGTCGCTGTCTTTACCACAGGGTCCTGGGGGGGGGGGGGGCAGCATTCAAGCAAAGTTATGATAATGATAGCATGCCGGGGGGGGGGGGGGCAGCCAGGTGAGCTTGGACCCCCAGAGGCTTTTTCCTCCCTCCATTGTCATCTGTCTTTTTCTTTCTTTCTCTCTCCTTCCTTCTCATTTTCCCCCGTTTCTATATTTTCCCATCTTACTGACGTTGTAACGTACCACAAAACACCCATGTAAAGCGCCTTGGGGTGACTCCGTTGTGAAAGGCGCTATAATAAACTGAACTGAATTATACTGGACGAGGACAAGGTTTGAACTGCAAAACTTCTTTGGAAGCACCTGCCTTGATAACTTCCATCACATTCCTCTGACAGTGCAAACACGCATGGCTGGAAGGCCAGAGTAGCAGGACTTAAATGAAATGATACATTTTTTTTTGACAAAAGTAGACACGTCTGGAAGGGCAAGGGTATTATCCATAATGGAAGAGGACAGGATGCAAAAGGGAACTGCAAAATGCTCCAAAATAAGTTTAGCAATCTTATACATTCTTTACATTTTTGCAGTTTGTTTTTCTGAAATGTTTACTGTAATTATTACAGTGGTTCTAGCAATCTAAGTCACCAAACAAGATGACCCAACACTGGAGGCCCTGCCATAGAACCCCAGTGCTTCCCTCTTACCTGCAGGAGGTGTAGCCAATAGTTCCCCAGTGACAGGCCCTCCTGACTGCAGCAGAGACCTTCTGATGGAATCCTGGCCATTTCTACCAGCAGGCTTACAGGGACCCCAGCCATCAGCTGTTGGTACCTTGTCTTTGGCCTTTCTGGGAGTTGCCAATAAGGGGGATGAGGTGGCGATTGCACGTGCAGTAGACGGACCTGGACCCCCTGTATTGAATGGAGAGAGTGGAACACCCAACAAAGAGACCAGAGACTGTCCCCTTTCCTGCTGAGGAGCTACCAGGCTCAAGTTTCTCTCATGAAGATCCACGGAAGTTGTGGCTTTCCCCAAGCTCTCCTGCAGAGTGGGCAGCCTGGATTCTTCTGGGGCAGCACAATCAGGAGCCGTGGGACTTGTCACATCTCCCTGCACTGAGTTCTCCTCATCAGACTCCTCAATGGAAAACCCCAGGTCAAAATTGACAGAGAAGAGCTCCTGGGAACAGTCAAAATTTCCACAGTTTGAAGAAGGTTCCTGGTGAACTTCTGGTGAAGTACAGCACATGTCCTTTGAGCCTTTGGTTGCATCACCCTCTACAGCTCTCCTGGCACTATTATGTAATGTGGTGGCCTGATTCACACAACCCGGAGAGGGCTCCTCTTGAATTTTCCTGCTAACAAGAGGAGAGCTAAGCGTTTTGATCTGAAAAAAGACATCATCGTCGTCGTCATCATCCCCAAACAAAACCATACTCTCATCCGGCTTAGGTGGGGCTATGTATTCCCTGGCACCTACAGCGCCTGGCAGAGCTGAAGGAGCTTCACAATTATTAACCTCATCTGCAGGACCAGGTGTATCAACATCATTATCAAAAACCTCATCCCAGGTGGGGCTGCAGGCTGCACTGCAAGTTCCTTCTGCAGGATCCAGGTGGTTAAGTTCACCTTTCTCAGTTTCCAAAGGAACGGCATCCAAATGCTTATCAGAGAAAGCCGAATCACTTGATTCATCATCTCCAAGGTCATCTCCAAGGAGGAAACTCACTTGGAATGGGTTTCCATTCTGTTGTGACTTATGTCCAGCTGCTAGTGGTTTGTCCATGGGGTTAGCTTTGGAATCATTTTTAGAGCAGGTAAACTCAATGACTTGAGGTGGTGACCTAGACAGGAGCTCTAGAACGTTGGTGAGAATAGTTCTTACTGCCTCTGGCGGTTCATTGGAGGAGTGTAGCTTTTGGGCAGTACCCCAATTTGGCAAATAAAACATATTTTCAATTTCTGAGGAAGGATCCTCTGGCAAGCTACTATACCCGGCATCAGAGTTTACTTTGGGTAACTGGTGAAAAACACTGGGCCCATCAGCTAAACTCACTTCCTCATCGTCACAGATCACAATGCTGTCAGAATGCGATTCAACCTCTGTGTTCAGGACTGGGATCTCCTCCAAACTATGAAGGGGAGCATTACTGGTGGTTTCACATCTGGCTCTTTGTTTATTCTCTGAAGACAATTTCCAGGGTGAACCTGAAGACCCAGCCAATTTCTGTCCCTCAGTAGTCACTCTATCCTGAAGGACAAAATCAACATGATCCTCTTCATTGTTCAGCCAAGAGTGAGAGGACAACTTCCTCTCGGTGTTATTGGGCACCAAACAATCCCTATTGTCCCTGCGGCCAACTGTTTTGGGGGCTGTAGTGGTTTTAGGAGCCTTCTCTGGCTGTCCATCTTCAATATAACCAACAACATCTTCTTTGCGAAGGTAGGACCTCATTGTTAGCTCATAGCTAGAGCTTCCCTGCTGGCCAAATGGTGAGGTTAATCAGCTACATCGTGAAAGATCATGCATAAGTAACATCATAAAACACCAAAAAGAAATGTCATTTTACCATATATAACAAAAAATAACCCAATAGCTCTTGCAATCAAATATACAAATGCAACCAAGAAGCAAGAATATACATATACAACGTTTAACATCAATAAGGCTTAAATCTTGCTCCCTTATGACCACTTTGATTGCCAATAGTAATATAATTGCATGGTACACAAAGACAAAACAGTGACCCATGTTTCTTACTGCAGTGGAGTAGGAGAGCACTGCAGTGGAGTAGGAGAGCACTGCAGCATCACAATGAGCATGAATAGGTCGCAAAGGTAAGAGAAGAAACCATGACAACTTATACATACTGAAGGAAAAGGGCAAATAGGCTGCAAGGACACTGGGGCAGCCACTGAATGGTCAGGCACATCCAACCCCCTAACCCATTAGCTAGATCTGAATAGATCGCATTGAGGCTGTACGACTATGGGTACAGGATAGGAGAATAAGATTCAAGGGAGGAACTCAGAAGCCACTGACCTTCATATTTCCAGAGCTATACATGAAAGTATGAGTATGGCATTATGAACACTATACAATACACCGTAACAATATACTTACAATGCACACAAAAATAATCTTCACAGAAGTAACAAAGGATGGCGAAGATACGAGACATTAGTGCATCCTTGTGGTCACAAAAGCAGCAGGAATCGCTGCTCGGTAATGATGGCTTATTCCAAAGTTTCAAAACTTTCGGCCCGCTGTTAATGGTTCAAGGATAATGAAAAGACACAGAGCAACGTGAATTCTGAAACGGTGAGAGTGTGTGTTGAAGAGAACGTCAGCAGAGCTCTCACTATGCCAAGCCCCTTCTCTCCATCGAGGTGGCAACACGCATCAGAGATCAGTGAGGCACGGCCTACTTCTGAGTTCCCGTGTTTGTAGAACTTTTGAGAACTGTTACATAAACACTGAAAGAGTCCATCTACTTGTGGTTGTCACTCATAAAGGAAAACTCAATCTAATAAGGAACAAAGAAACAAAATCTATTCAAAAAGATGAAAGGGATGAGAGAAAAATGCATTTTATAAGGCAGATTTTAAAAATACATGCTTTCATAAACCATGGTTTCACTGGAGAACTTCTCTCTCCCTCTTCTGAGCAACACAAGAAAAACAAAAACAGCTTCCAAAATGTAGGTCGTGTATCTAAGCTTTTTCGCATGTCATTCCCTCTCAGAATGCGAGAATCAGGCAGCCTGAAGGAAAAAGGGTTTAAGAACTTGAAACACAAAAAAATAGGTCGCAGCTCATTTAACAAAATCCTCTTTGTTGTTGTTTAATTAAAGTGGTGTCGCAGCACAAAAACAGATGCGTGCGGGACCAGCGTATTAATGCAATAAGGGTGAATTGAAAGAGGGAGTTTTGTTCAGCCTAGTAAGTAGAGACTGCTTTTCTCAATGATTTGCAGTGAGCTTCAAAAATGGCAGTTAGAGTATAAAATGACTCTACAAGATACATTACTCACTGTAATCATACAGCTCATTAAAATGGCCACAAATTGTATAAAAAGTAACAATATAAAAAGGAAAATAGTGTATTTTAGTTGAGATTTTTTTAAGCAAAATCCAAAGAATTGTCCCTTGCCATTCTGATCTTCGCTTTGTGTACAGCGTCTCTTCAGGCTGATGTTCTGACACGTCCCACTGACCCAATGAGCTGACTTCAAAACACAGCTGGTCTACAACCTTCCTAGTGGTGCCCCTGGACCCATCTCTTCTGCTGATCTCTCTCAAAACTGTTGACCAGAGCCACTGCAAAGTCAAAGATCCTGGTCCTAACCAATATAACAGCAAAAGACTCATGACCGCACTATCTGCAGGACATCAACCTCAGCAGCAGTGCAGAGATTAATACAAAAGGTGCCCTATAATCAGTGCTTAATTTGTGCCAGATCCTGCCTGAAACCTTTCTGTTTTTCACTGCATTCTGGTACCTATCTGTGTGTATTAGGCAGCTCTCTGGTTAAACAAACAAAAACATCATAAAACATAAAATAAGTATGTAGTGTTTACAGACCTATTTTCACAGAATTTCACGTCCTTCGTTAGTTTAGATTTATGCTTAAAAATACATAGCATGTTTTCAGCACCGTGTTTTGTATGTTTTCAGGGACCCATCCCGCCCTCATTACCCCACTGCTCTCATATGCCCTTTGAATCCGGCACCTTCCGATTCGCAAATTAAGCACTGCCTACAATGGAGGAAAACCAGGCGGTGTAATATCACTGGCACCTGAGGTGTGACAGCCTAGAAGACACCAACTGTTTCTGGAATATAGCAAATGACTGACTTAAAAATGACACACTGCTTCCCAACACAATACAGTAGAACCTTCAAACCTCTTAACTCTGACATAGAACGGGTCTGCTGAGTTTTTATATACTTGTACCTCGACCAAAATCTTGGAACTCGACTCGTTCCTGCTAAAATTTGTATTGGTCGAGACACATTCAACTCCACCAATACGGACCTCGAACGGGTTGGTCAAAAAAATCTAAACGCAACTCGATCGAAAACTCGAAACGCGACAAGACAAAAAAAACATACCTGCTAAAACTTGTACAGATGGAAATGCGTCTCTGATGGGCTGAAACGAAGACAAATGGACCTACTGGGATGCTGATGCCTATGAATCCCTGTCGGTCTCGTGGTGCCTCTTGATCGTGCGAAAGCTGTGTTCCTGTGTTTGGTGTGAATTTTTTTGTGCTTTATGTACAGTACATTTAGTGATACAGTAATCATGGCCCCTAAGAAAGTGAGCAATGATATCAGCAAACCAAAGAGGGAAGTAGTGAGAGTAACTGTAGAACTTAAAAAGGAAATTATAGCGAGACTTGGTGGTGGAGGCGTGACTGGGCTGCTCTCGCTTCGGAATATGGTACTGTCATTTATTTCATGTTTAACACTTTTGTATTTGTGCTTCTTCATGTGTGTATTAGCTTTATATTGATTGTCAGTGCTTTTTTATCATTAGTTAGGTAGGTAGATAAGTTCAAATAGGCAATCATTTGGGGGTCTGGAATGGATTAAATTCATTTACATTTCTTATGGGAAAATTTGACTTTGAACTCAACCAAATAACAACCACACTTCTGGAACAAATTAAGTTCACTGTACGCAGTTTGAGCGCTGAAGTAATTTTAGTGTATTTATGGTATGTTAAGTAATAGTCAGCAGACATGAAAGAATTGTTTTAGAAAAAGAAAGATTACTATAAATTTGACAAATGGATCTCCCAGGGGAATCTGAAGAGGGGAATCAACGAGCTCCAATATTTGGTCAGGACCTGAATATATTCCAAAGCCCAAAAGCCTACAGGATTTCTTACACCAGCAAACCTGGCCCATCAAAGCAAAAATGGTCAAATTCTGCCTGGAGATAATGACTTTTACTTGTGGCCTGGACACTTAATCCCTGGAAGCTGCCTGAAAGCCAATCCTTTCCCGATCGATAGGTTCCTACACAAAAGCTAAATAGGACAGCTGCCATGGAAGTAAGACCTATTGGTGGTTGTGTGTATCTCAGCGTAATTAACTTCCTCTCTCATCTAGCTGCAAAGGGAGTCATTATAGGTGTAGGGGGGAATCATACATGGCCAACCCTCTAATTTGCAAGCAACCTTTAGAGATAATGAGGTTTCAGTCTGGTAGAGAAGCCAGGTTTACCAGAAAAATGAGTGTAGTGTATCTGATAAAGCCACTTTCACAAGCAGTTTCGTTCTCAGAATTACAATAAATTACAAAGACATTTTTCTTAGAATATGTCATGCAACAAATGGCAAATGATATGGTGAAAAAAAAAAACAGTCCTCCTCCCATTCCGTATGGAAGTGGTCGGTTTTTGGCTTCTTACTTGGTCCAGCTCCCCCATTCATTTTTATACCCTTTCTTAAGTTTAGTAGAAATAAATTAGAGGCTAACTAGGCGACTCGTTAGCTTGTAGCAGCTGATGCGGTTGAACGCGTCATCCATCCTCTATTTTTTTTATGCCATACGATCTACCCACACTACCTTTGCGATCGACCAGTAGATCACGATCAATGTATTGGGCACCCATGGTGTAGACCATGTATACGTCAGAGTGGATCATGAAAACAATACTGGAACCAGCGAGAAAACAAAGAGCTTGCATTGACATTTATACGGTCACGTCGATGCATCGGATCGTTTGCTGTTGTTAAAGAAATGTGTTACTTGTTTCATTTTAAAATCGGGACATGCAACAACTGGCAGAACAATGGTTCCGCCAAGCCTAATAGTGAGAGTCTGGGCGACCCGTGTAAAGCCAGTAATTAGATAAACCCATGAATAAGAGGCTGCTGCTAAGCACTATGCTGTAAATGGAATAGCAGCTTTCAGGAGGCCTTACAAATCACACAATACAATGGCAAATATGCATCAATTAAAAAGGCATCTACTGGAGCTTCTTAACAGCGGCTTAGGGATTGGAGAAACAAAGCTGTGAAAGCTGGGGCCGGCAGGATTTACAAGCATGATGTCAACAGCACCAGATTTAACCCACTGAGAACCAGTGAAGGAACCATGGAGCAGTGATTAGCATTAGATGATGAACCCTGCAGAACGACAGCTACTGACCATCAGCAGACTGTGAGCTTCCACAGTCGTGGAAATCAAGATCACCACAGGCACTAGGAGAACAGTTAGTGTTTGCGGCTACTTTGTATAAACACCGGTCAGAAGTGGTCCGGTTGGCTCACGGGGCCTGTGTGGGGGGAGCGGCCCCTACCTCCTCCAGCCGCATGCTGTCCAGGAACCCCATGATCTCTGTGAAGTGCAGACAGCGGCCCGAGTGGCTGACCCGGTGGGTGGGCAAGGGCCGGTTCTGCCAGCATGCCCACTCGCCCAGGGAGAGCTCCCGCACAGGGCCCGCACTCACGTCCTCCTATGGGGCAGAAGAGGACGCCGTGACGGGCTGGCAGACACAAAGGGGGGCGGCAACGCAACGGGGGGGGAGGAACCAGCAAAGCAAACAGGGGCTCGGCAACTATGTAACGGGGGATCCGGAAACATAATGGGGAGGGGGGCGCCAACGCAATCGGGGGCCCGGCAACACAGAAGGTGGGGGCATATGGCTTTCAGTGTATTGCTGATGAGGCAGAATGCAGATAAAACATCACAGTAGGATGCCTGCAAATTGAGAAGAGATTATAAACTATTCACTATATATGCAAAACAGTGAATAACAAGCTAAAGGGTCCCAATCTACTCCTAATTCCTCACGTGCCAAGTTTCATAAAAGGTGGCATAAAGGTGTTTTCCACTTGTTTATTATTATGGTCTGTGTGGTTGGGTGAGTCATCTTTTGTTTATTCTTATGCTACAGGATTTCTAGCTCAATAAACCATTTCCTCTGTGAGTCCTTTAAAATGCTTTAGGAGAACCTAAGTGGTTCACAACTTGAAATGTAGGTAAATACGTTCTGTGAGTCAGACGGGCTTACCTGGGCAGGGGCATCGCTTTTGGTAAACAGGAAGTGGGAGTGGCTCAGCGCAGGCTGTGGCTCCGCCTCCCCCAGGCGCATGGTGGTGGCCCAGAGGGAGAGCTCTGCCGGGCTCAGAAAGCCGTCCTCCTTGGTGGCGTGCCGCCGTCCGCCTGGGACACAATTGCTAAGAGTCAGCCATCGCCCGACTGATTGAAACATGTCCAGTAACACACCACAGTGACTAATCAAAACCACAAAGTGTTTTCAATAAGAGGCTTTTACACCAGGGATAAATAATTAAGCAAACCTAAGACTGATTAGAGTTTGGATTTTTTTTCGTGGATTTGGATTGTGCAAAAACAGAACGTGGCAAAGTTCGGCTGTTATGTTAGGCCAATTTGTCTTCCATTACAACTGTTTGATCTTCAGGTTGTCATAATCGGTCATGTTTTCTGGAGTCAGAATAGGAGTAATAACAGATTAGGTCTTTATTGAAATGCTCCCAGTTTTATCGAATACAATTAGCTTAGCACTCTAGCGAACAGATGGGCCGACAGTAGGATGGACAATCAGACTATCAGAAACTAAACGGGGCCATTTCTTTGAATACAGCATAACTTGAGAACTATTTAAAAGCATCTTCTGCAACCCTATTTCCACGGGGGTCAGAGGGCCAATACGTGTTGTTAGAATCAACCCCTAAGCCCACAGACAGCCAATCCATACACCTTCACTGCAGATGAGGGACAGTCTAACTCCCAGCAGCAGTAAGGCTCGTGCGGGTAAGCGGATGTGAGGGTCCGGCCCTAACCTTGGACACGGGGGTGCAGCAGGGACTCCCCCACCTCAGCGCCCGACCTCCGCCCCCGCGAGGAGCGCCGGCCCGCCTCCTGCGGCTCGAATTGGCCGCAGGTGATGAACATCTTGTGCAGAGTGGGCCGCACCCCTGCAGGCAGCATTCGGGGGCTGTGGGGGTACATATGCAGGCTATGCTGCTTCCCCGTGATGGACTTGTAGACGCTGCGCTTGTTGCACTGACTCTGGTTGTAGGTCTGAAATGATGGGAGACGTTGTCACAGAGTTCTGGGTCACCCCAGGTGACGATCATGCACGCAAGCGACACAACCAACAGGCACCACCAATAAAATTCATTAGATCATCATCATCTATTATTTAAGGAACAATAAACCTAATTAGGAGATAAAACTGTGTGCAATGAGTCATACAACATTCCCTCCCACGTTATCTCCAGCTAGTTAATTTACTCAGAATCTCAGTTAAAGCCTGAATGTTATAGTTAAATGGGGAGGGGGGGCTGACCCTCTCCTCGCGGCCCTCGGCCAGGACGACCACGATGCGGCCCTGCCGCCGGCGGCCCGTGCGGCCCATTCGCTGCACCAGCCGGATGGGGCTCTTCTGCGCGTCGAAGCACACGATGAGATCCACCTCCCCGATGTCCAGGCCCTCCTCACCCACGCAGGTGGACACCAACGTGTTGAATCCGCCCTCACGGAACTTCCTCACCACCTTTTTTTTGGGAAAGGGGGGGGTGGGGGTGACACAGGGGGATGGGCCACCAGTCACAAACGAGCCTGCAAACTATGCAGAAGTCATATTACTGCAGGAAGCCGAAGTTCATTTATTGACATAATCTTAAAGCCTCCAGTTTGTCAGGTGGGGACATTAATATCGCACGCGCACACACACACACCTCATATATTCCTGTCATAGGGCAAAGAGAAAGTATCATAAGTAGAGTACTTGGAACAGTAGTAAAGTGCCCTATGATAACCCTAAACCTAAACCTAAACCTAAAGCTAAAGCTAAAGCTAACCCTAACCCTCAGCCCAGCCCTAACCTTAACCAGAAGTAACCAAACATGTAACAAAAATACAAGACTTTTTTAGTTCTTTGATTGCATTCACAGATTTTTATAAAATTGTAATTTATATTGTGGGGATCTGAAAAATATCTTATGAGCTAAAAAGAAACAGGTTTTACCACACTGGTTCCCACACACACACACAGTAATAAACATTTTATATCAAGCCTTCACCACTTAAACCATTAACATGAGAGCATCTGGAGCCAGTTACTCCTGTCCCACATTTTTGTGTGTCATGTCTGTCATCTGTCAACAGATACAAACACTGGATTTTACAAAGGAAACAGGTTATTCCTGTGACTGTAAAGTAACAGTTATTTCACGGTGAAGACTTGGGAACAAGTGAAACACTCAGCTGGGGAGGCCCCCGCCCTCCCACCTGCCCACTAGGGTGACACACGGGGGGCACTGATCAGGTCAGTGGGAGTGAGGCGTGGGCTTGTCTCTGAAGGCCTTTCCCTGCAGCTCACCATGCCAGCCAATTTGCTTTAGCCTCCCCTTAGCCTCATGTGATGTTTTGGTGAGAGACGCCTAGGGAGCCAATTCCTAGGCTGTGAGGCAGTTGGAAGATCGATAAGGAAAACAGAAAATTACAGTGGGATGGGAGGGAGGAGCCGACAGCCAGAGGAGCACAGCACCAAGGGGCCGCTGCAGTTAATCAAACCAAAGGGTTCTTCACAAGTACACCTGTAATCTCAAGCTGATATCAAGGGCCACAGTGAAACGCTTCCGGATTCCGAACCTCCAGCTGCTCCTTCTGGGTGAAGCCCCGCACTGCCTTGCCAGCCGTGGCCTGACCCATGAAGGTCATGACCCGTATGAGCGGCTGGTGCCGGTTCAGCATGATGGCAATCTCCTGCACGCTCTCGCGAAACGACGAGAAGATCATCACGCGCGTGCTCACTGCCTCCGAACTGGGACCAGCTCCTGGGCCAATCAGAGGAGGGAGAATATGGTCACATGCTACAGGAAGACGAGCAAATTATTGATGCTGATCACAAGCAGAGGACAAAGGTGACAAAAGGATTAAACTTCACCCCCAAAGAGATTAAGAGCAGAGCAGATATCTACTGTGTGGACTTCAATGCTGCTGCGTGTGCATTTATCTCGTAACTGGACTCATTACGCTGTCCAGATGTCTAGCATGAAAGCAGAGCACATGAAGATGCTTCAGGCCTTATCAAGGTTGACCTACTACAAAAGAATTCAGGTACAACATCCTTGGAACAATCAAAATCGCCATGGGAACCCCTCATTCAGAAAAGCATGGGGGGGTTGTAAGGTGTGGGGGGGGGCGGGCTCCAGTTACCGGAGCTCTCTGGTGAGGTCCTGAAGTGCTGCAGCACCACCTCTTCCAGCTTCTGGAGCTTGGGGTGGCTGTAGATGAAGGGGGCCTCAGATCCTGGGGAGAGGAAGTGGAAAGAACACGGCTGGGCTTCACTAGGTATATTCAAAGGGATTCCCCAATGCCAACAATGACAAGCCAAGGTGATACCCTGTCCCCAAGGTCATGTGACACATCATCACTGTCAGATGAAAACCACGTGTTTTCACTTTTTGACGATTGTGACTTCTTTTCATTTTTTATTTTAAGAGAACTAAACAGAGAAATTATAAATATTCTATTTGGGAGGAAAGATGTTTTTCAAACACATCATTTAAGCCATTTATAATACAAACCAACCAGGATTAACAGAATTTGCAAACCCAGTCCAGTTTGATTGCGCATTTTTGCTATAGATGGAATACGTCAATTTTCCTCTGTCTACTGATAGCGTCTAATGTCTAATTGACCAATGAAAAGATTTTACAAGGTCATCTCTAACTAGTATTTATGGTTAATTATTATTTATTATTATTATTGATACTTTATTGATCCCCGTGGGGAGATTGTCTTTACGCCTCCCTCAACTTGCTCTTTGTGAGTAAACTGTCCGTGAAGGGCAGCCACCTGTTGGGGCTATTTGGACACGTTGTTTGTACAGATACTTTATAATCGCTAATTTTAACAATTTAATGATAGCTGGTTAACATCATTGTTAATAGTGAATAGAAAGAGATTAATTTGTATCTTGTTAACACGGACATATTTGCCTTGCTGACAATAACCGACACAAGTCTATTCAAAACATTACAATGTTCACTGACGGCTGTGTAAAGATGGGTTTCTATTTGTGGTGCTAAGGGTGACTCATTACATTGTATTAGGTGTATTTTGTAAGGTCGTCTCTGAGAAAATGTGTTTCTGGAGATACAAGTTTTTCATTGAACAGAGATGATACATAGTTATTTACACATTAATGTATTTGCTTAACTGTAAAATTCAGGTTTCATATAAAATACAAGTAAATAAATCAATCGTATTGCACAGTTTAAGTCATACATGTGCACCCTTTCAGAACACACTGATAGAAACGGGGCACCGTCTGGCTATACCCTGCGGTGTCTGCGTGGCACTGGATGGCACTGGATGGCACCACCTCTAAGATACCTGCACTGGGCTTCCCGAACATGGCCTCCATCTCCCTGTAGAGATCCACGAAGACCTTGGTACGCTGAAGCTCATTCCTGGCTCGGGACATTTCTGTGGGGGGGGCACATATATTTCAAGAAGGGCATCGTGAAGTCAGCTGGGTGGAGCCAGTAGCCCAAGACCCATGAAGGTCATAGTGGAGATGAAGTAGAGCAGACAGGCGAGGGAAATGCGATGCACCAGAGGGCATGAAATGGAGCATCTTATGAGAAGTAACATTACAGGAGGGTTACCGTCTACTTAAGGCTGAGTGTGTCTTTCTAAGCATGAGGACTGTATCTTTTCAGGGAATCAACGTTCTTTAAGTCCAATTAAGTCCTATAACATCGATGCTGAGTTAGTATACTAACTCTGAATGAAACACACAAACACACTGATCTGCATCAGCCGAAAGCCCTCCAGGATCAGACAGACGTGCAGCGAGCACCTCAAAACTGGCCCAAGAGAGAGACTCACTGCCAGGCCTCACTGAAAGAGGAGAGTCGCCACTGGCCTGCAGGTCCACGGGAGACTGGCTGCTGGCCACCGATGCAGACCAGCACGGCAAAGGCAAATGACACCATTCCTAACAGCCCTTTGGGGATCTGAAAGGTACCACCTCACCTCACGACTGAGATCGGACAAGCTGCTCCAACAAAGGCCCCCTGTGTTCAGTGTGGATATTGTTAACACTTGTTAATTTGAGGTCTAAGTTGCATATTACCTGATAACAGACTGACAACACCAAGCTGAAATGGGTGTGATTGTCTTGCCTTACAAATCCTTGCTGAATAAGATTTTATTTTCATTATTTCTTGTATTGATTTGCAGGTAGGACGTTTTTGACCATATGTCCTGTTTTCCTCTTCCGCAGTGTCACACCTCATATGAAACTACCATGCCTGAACATCTACTGGGGCAACGCCGCCTCGTCCTTCCGGTGATACCCACTCAGAGCCCCCCTCAGCTGAGGGCCCCCCTGGTTCGGACACCTACCCTTGGTGCCGTCCATTATGCCCTGGATGAACAGGAAGAGGGAGCGGACGCCCATCTGCAGCAGGAGCTCATAGCCGTGGTACAGCGTGATGCACAGGGCGAAGTCCCCCTCCAGCACGCCATGCTGCGCCCCCTAGGGAGAGAGACGGGAGGTGTCACTGCACCAGGAGGGCCGGTCACAGCATCACACATACAAAGCAGGCAGCTCTAGTTAAAAGCAGGGTCAAAGATCTTCAAAGAGCTAAACACATTGTTCTATCATGAACATGCAGAAATATTCAGGCGCATGGACTTCAGGTGACACAGGACAGCGAGGGACCGCCAGGCTCACGGCTCCATCTCATAGACAGGGAGCACATACAGTGGGCAGGCGGGGCCCATGCACCAGGCCGTACCACGATGCGGGGGTGCGGGTTGTTCCGGAACTGATCCCGGGCCAAGATGACTTGGTACTTTGTGAGAGAGCGCAGGTCGCGGGCAGACAGGACCCCCGTCTGGGTCAGGCGGCTGGTGAACTTCTCCAAGACCTGCAGAGACATACAAGGGGGGAGTGAGGAGGGGGCAGGACAGCGAAAAGAGAAAAGAGCAATTTTAACAGCCTTTTGAAGAGTTTACTACTCAATTTATGCTTTTCCTGTTCTCTGTTGAAGCAGAAAAAGGGTCGAATCCCCCACCCCACAAAACACCGCCCATTTTGTGCCCCCCGGTTGTCCAAGCTCTCACAAGAAAGGCATTTTTTGCAGCCTTTTCAGGCACAGAAAAGAAAAGTGGGAACTAGCCACTTCTACCGTAATTTCTTGCCATCAAAGCCACTTAATTTCAGTCCCTTTTCTTCAGCAGGAAAGTTATTACAGACATTCGGCAATATACAAGGTACAAAAGCCCAGCATGATTCTGCACCAAGTAACTGTAATTTGTCCACAAAACTGGAGGAAGTGGTTGGGCTTTACCTTACTTGCCCAGGATGTAGTTGATAATGTAAGAGAGAGATGTTCCTTGGAGATTTTTACCCTGAAAACTTACAGTGCCAAATAAAGTTTTAAAAAGCTTAATCTTTTGTCACACACCAGGAGCAGGTGGTACGAAGGTTTAGTGCAGAGGACTGAAGTGTGGCCCCCTGCTGCGGTTTGCTTTACCTGAACGGCCCCAAAAACACCCAGCTGTATGACTGAGCGACTCTGTAAGCTGCTTTATTAAAGCGTCACCAAAGTAAATCTTAAATTAAAGAGGATGACATATCCGTTATGTAGCGGCAGACGTGAGCTGATCCCTAACCAGTACCAGTGATGGCTGCCTCATTTGCTTTCAGCACACACGTCTGACAGTCCCAGGAACGAGGGCCGCAACAAGCTGCCATCTTTGCCGGCGTTTTGGAGACCTGGGCGCCGGATCTAGTTTGCATGGTCTAGAAATCATGGATGAGCGTGAGCTTGCCGCTGACAGGGCCAAACGTAAGAGGATTGAGATGGTGAAATTAAAAGCTACCGTTTAATAAGTTTAATAGATGGAGCTTGACCTTGGGCTAATGGCCACAGACTCACTGGAGGTTGGGCTGCGGGCACCAGCATATCAGGGAATTTCCATGGCCACACCCAAACTGGAGGACCGGGCCCCCCCCACACGGGCTGCTGCGGCGTCCCTCCTTCCGCACATTCATCCCATAATCCACAAATTGGTGCCGACACGCTACAGGCCGGAGTGTAAGGAGCGAACGCATAAACAGCCAATCAGAAGAGTGTTGAGACGTCAATGTCCTGGCAGCCAATGTGATGGCAAAAATCCTAAAAGTAGTGGGGGGGCGCTCACGGATTAAAGCACGCGTGGCATACCTGTGACACGCCTGATAAGGCAGACGCACGTTAAGTTGAGGCTGGTCAGAATACAGGAGCTGTCAGTCCAACCGATGGGCCCTCTAATGCTGACCTAACCTTTTCCATCTGAGTCCCCTCTATTCCTCCCCAGGGCAGCTCCAGCCAAGAGCGGTAAATCCCTCGTACGCATCAGCAGATGGCCTGGGGAGAAGGGATTACACGCACATCTCAGGTAGAATTTGTCTCGGGAACAATTTCACCCTTTGATGTCCCCAGGCAAGTCTTATTTACATTGATTATCTATGGAGAAAGAGAGAGGTGCTCTGTGAATGATCAGCATTAATCTGATCTTAGTATCAACCCCCACATGGCCTTTTTCCATAAATGTTTCCTGGGCTCACTATACAGCACGCCCCACCCCCCCCCCCCCAGCCTTTGCCGGGACGGGTAATCTAACAAACCATGGTCAATGGTTTAACCAAGAAATAACAGGCATCAGAGCGACCAGAAGTCTGGGTCTGGAAACCCCGCCCTTCTCATTTCCCCCAGCCAGCACGGGCACCAATAACACCCTGCTCAGCCCCACCCTACATTTAACACATGGATTGATGGAGGGGCGGAGATTCGTGTTTCAGCCCCTCAGATACCCCCCCACCCCACACCCAGCTTCACAGCGAGACTCCATCAGAGCAACACAATCAGAGGCATGGATCAAAACCTTGGGCACCAAACTAGTTTAACTTTCATTACTGCCACGCGGCCGGAGACTAAGGGCAGTAATAAGGTTAATTAAAACTTAAAACATTTTGACACTAATAGAAACGTACACAAATATGGGATCCACGTTATTACATGTCTGACAAGTGGCAGTTAAGATCACGTGCGATACAAATCAAACATGCCAAACTCAAACCAGAAATATAGCAACATTACAACTATTGTCAAACAGACAAGTTAAACTTGTCTCATTGACTGCAGTCAGTTTTCACTCTGAAGTACTGAATTATCCAGGTGGAGCGATGAAGAACCTTTGGATTTTTATATTACAAAAGCCTCATAAATGACAGAAAACAGCAACTCAGCCCCATGTCTAAATAAGGAAACACTAATAAAGATCTCAATTGACTCTATACCTCTTGGGGAATCTGAGATGCTATAGTGCCCAGAGCATTTAAAAAAAAAAAACAAAAAAAAAAAGCCACATGAGAATAGAGAAAAATACTAACTGTAATGAGGACTCAGAGGCTCGTGAGGCTCTCCAATCAAAACCCACAAGGGAGAAGGAATGAATAAATCAACCAATCAAAACAAAGGGAGGGACTAGATGAGTCAATGCAGCCTAAAATGACACATTTAAGAAAACATCTCAGACACTGAAGCAAAACCATTAACCTGAGCTTGAAAGAGGTCCTATTTAAAGGAGCGGGAAGATTTCAGGATCAGCCGCTGTCAACTTTCAGGCCTTGTGATTCGTGACTTGAACAAAACTGCTTGGTGTGCAACTCAGCTTATACACAAAACCAACGACCACAAAGGTGTGACAGGACACACAGTCTGAGCTGCTGATCTCCCCCCCCCCACACACACAAACACCTGCCCCCCATTCCCACACGCCCTCCTTCCTCACCATTTGCCTATTTACACTATGTTAATTAATAACAACACTTTATTGATCCCCGTGGGGAAATCCTCTATTCGCCAACCCCATCTTGCTCTCCATCACACACACAGAACACAGACACTTATGTAGGTAAGAGCGAGCCTGACAGTGAAGGGCAGCCACCCGCAGCGGCGCCCATGGACCTGGGGGTTAAGGGCCTCGCTCAAGGGCCCACAGATGTGACTATTCTGCTGACACCAGGTGCAAACCTGCAACCTTCCGATTACAGGCACAGAGGCCTATAGCCCACAGAGCCACACACTGTCCTCTGGGTCAGGGTCCAGTGCGATTTCAATCCTGCTTTCCAAAGCCCTGTACTAGGCACAGCAGCGATATTTTCCCATCTAGCTGCAGAAACACTGCACTCCAGAAATAGCTTTGAGGCCGGATGTCAAAAGCAGACAGACAAACTGAGAAAGGCAGGAGATTCACAGCATCTTGCAGCACGATCCTACGCGGTACCCGCCGTCATCCTGCTCAGAAAAACAGACGCTCCCTTGTGTCCCTGCACCCGAGGGAGACTTGTGACCGGCCGATGTACAACAGTCGGCGGCTCTTATGTGAGAAAGGTTTGGAGTAGATGGTAAGCCCGATCTCAGAGCGGTGCGGGGGCAAATTGCCCCCATCCTGTGAGTGAGGAGGAGGATGTGTGAAAATCCGTCACTTTAATTTAATCTTGCATGAGGTAGAGCCCAGGAAGGTCAAGCGCTGGAGCACCATGGAAATGGCTCGGACTGGACCAGGCCAGTCAGGACAAGGCGCTGGATTTTTGTCCAGCCTGTGGTTACAGTGCCATGATGAAAACGTCACAGCCTCCGGTGGCATTAAGTGTCCATCTGGGCCACAGGTTAAGAAGAAGGGGGGGGTTATGAAGACGAGGTTGGTGTTGGGGAGCGTCTCTTCTGGCTCATTTCACTCACAGAAAACGACCTTTCATAAAATGAATGAAACAGAAATTACCTTGTTTTCCTTGTTCTGATGAACGCTCATAGTAGCGCTTTCAAAAAATTCAGATGACAAACCGTCCAGTCCAGCATGACCCCCGAGAAGACCGTCAGTCAACTCGGACGTCCCTCTGAAGGTGCAGCCCATCACCCTAACACCCCCTGTACCTGATGCGGGACGTGCTGGGAAATCTCCCCTGCTACACCATGCACCACCCGCCCATTCCCTCCGTCACCCTGAGGCTCCATTTCGCCCTAATTCAATGCACAACAAAAGCATCACACAACAATGACATTCCTGATAAATGAGAAAATAATAAGTGAAATCAGAAGAATATGTTTGATTTCCCTCCCAGCCCTCAGTGTCAGGTTACAACGCCCCACGAATCCATCACAAACCTCTTCCTTGCCAAAAACATTAAGAATTAGTGTCTATCTGCCTGTACTACCACTGACGGTGGGATCAGCCCTGCCCATCTGCCAGAGGCACCCAGACATCTCACATGGTTTATAATCCCCGTCCAGGCAGTCAGATCGCTGTTAGGATCTTAAGACATTCGGGCCTTAGCCCCGGTTCTGACTCAGGGCATGGTTACTGAGTGTTCTCAAGACCCCATGGATATTTCTCAATACCAAGAATGCAAAGATCATACTTGTGGTCATGGTAAGACCAGTCTTTGCTAACTTGATGCCCAAGAACGAACTTCGGGCACAATGAATCATGACGTCTCATTTGGCAAGTATGCAACTGAGGCCGGATGGGACAGGAACATCATCGAGGGATTATTACTGTCCTCAGTACTTCTGTTACTGAGTATTGGAACTGGTCTTCGGCAATGGAAGATGAAGGAAAACAGGTACACGAGAGCACAAGTACGCATACTGAAAAACACTCCCTACTGCTGCAGAAGAAAATACTCCCATGATGCTCAAGGGCTCTGGACAATACATTACACCTTAATCATCTTCTGTCAAGCTCTGTTTCCATCTGTTGATTATGGGTTTTACCTGGGAAAACACTATAAATAATTCAGGCCCGTGTGCGATGTGTAGCTAAGCAGGTTAGTGATTAGTAGAAGGGGAAGGTCATGGATTCCCACCCCACAGCCAGAACAGCAATCATATTACTGCTGGCCCTTATCCCCAACTGCACCGGGACGCTGGCTGACCTGCACCCTGATACCAAGCTTTCCTCACTTGTACGCCGGCCCAATAAATGAACATGAAATGCTCTCTGGCTCTTAAATGCAGGCATGCTGCGAGTTTCCCATTCGCTAACATGTACAGTAAGCGCCAGACGGTCTTAACCGAGCATGACGGCGGTTAGTGGAGCGAAACATTATCACTATTTTAATCCCATCACAGGGAAATCTGGTCTTCTAAGCTACACCAGCGTCTGGTGGGACGCCGCAGCGAGAGCCAGAGACACAGGGGACACTTCCTGCTTTATTCCCTATATTTGAGCCGCAGCAAAATAAAGCCACGCTTGGCTGGGAGTGGCCACTCAACAAGACATTCCTTTGTTTAATAAAAGCAGATAGAAAGCAGCAGCAGCTTTTCACACATTCTGGAGAACGCTGGACTCCATTAAAGCCACGCAGATGCATGGAGCTCCTCCTGAGCACTAAGCTGAAGATAAATGGGGAGCAATAATCAGCTGTCCGGCGGTTCATCCAATCAGCATGGACCATGTGGTCATGGGCTGTGGGGTAGATTCCCATTGTTAAATAAAGGGAAAACTACTATATCAATTACACTGACAGTACATTCAGGGTGCTTTGTACAGCAAGTCACTTTCTGCCCTAAACACATATAAACTGGACTCTGCTTTCCTAGTGTTCGTGTGCGATTACCCGCTTTCTATCTTCTAACCATGAGGAATCAGTTCCTAGAATTAGACACTTCTATTCTCAACACGAATACCTTCCAGAAACAAAGCTGAGTCGTTCTCTTAAGACCTGAAATTGGCTGGGATAAAGGGGGGGGGCATGAGAACAGCCAGCTACAGGCTAATTAGCACCAACATCTGCCGCTCCTGAGCTATTGACTGATAATATCCAGGTTCGGTCCTTCCACCCCACCTCTACTGCTGGGAGAGGGTTCAGGGCCTGTGACGGACTGCGCAGACAGAGGCACACACACACACACACACACACACACACACACACACACACACACTTTGTGGTTCCACTCTGGTCCTCCACAGACCGCGCTCGCTCCCTCTGCCCATGCTCTGCTCTAAGCTGAAGACTGCTCGGCCGCCCGCTGTACCAATACGCATTTCCTCTCTTCAATATTTAAACAAAAAACAAACAAAAAAAAAAAACTTCAAGAAGAATGTTTTTCTTCCCCTCCTGCCTGCTGCCTCCTTCTCATAACTCGTGTGCCAGTGCACTTCCTTCAGGTTACACGAGGGCGGGGGCAGGGGCAGGGGGGGTTGGTGAGGGTTTGGGGAGCGATTCGCTGAGGGTCGCGAACCACACGGAGGAGGGTGAGAGAGGACAGACCGAGGCTCTCCATCACCGTGATGCACAGGCATCGCTGCCCAGAGCAGGGGCTCGCATGGGAGACGGGGCTGCTTTTCATTACACATGCCGGCACGTCTTACAGGGAAACACTGCTCAGTCTCCATTACGAAATTGGCAATTTCATTCCTGTCACAGCCTGAAGTGAAAAAAGGGTGTTGATGAGAAAAAGATTCTCCGCTTCCAGTATGGAGGGAAATCAATCAAGGGGGAGGCCTTCAATCCCCCCCCCCCCCACCCACAAATGTATTTACTCACAGGCATGTGTACACACACGCGCACTTGCAGACACACACATGCCTGCATGCACACACACAACTATGCCAACTATAATATATTTATGATAATTTTTAAGGATTAGCCTTAAGGAGTGGTAATAATTAACTCAAAATTCTATGTACTAATATACAATATCTATACAAACAGCTACATCAGTCCATACCAGCTGCGGCTTTGAATATAGGTCATACAGTTTATGTAAATGACAGCACAACTGTTCGTATTGTATATGCAGTTAAACGGAGCAAGAAAGTAATGTCAAGTCTTTCACAGAAATCAGTAAACTAAGGAAGGGAAAAAAAAAGCCTACGGTCCGAGAGCACGGCCCCGAGGTGGGAAGGGGCGGCCGGCCAAGGGCCACGTGACCGCCCAGAGGCGCTTATAAAGATGAAATTAGAGTCCCATCAAGACCATCGGAGACAGATATTCAAGGGTACCGATCTCCAGCTTCGGTCGGTCTTTATTTCGTTTTCAATTTTTTAAGCTCGTAATTCTTAAGTACGTAAAGGGAACCTGCCAGACGCGATCAACACAAGCTGCGAAATTAACGGTGAACGGAGCGTGAAGCTGTCTTAATTTATACCCCAGGGGGCAGGCGGGCATCGACTGCTTACTGACACCGGAAAGTGTGCAAGTAAAGCAGGCAGATTTCAGACTTTCCGAAGTAACGTTCCTCTCAACGCAAAGGCGACGATGGACCGCGGAGGCTGTCGTCTAAACGGCGGTCAAGGTGGCGAAAGCGGCGGACTGAGTTCAGGTGCCGGTGGCGGGATGATCACGCTGGAGGACCTGGAATCCTTCTCGGAGGATCAGCAGTCAGACTCCGGCAACGGGAGTCTGGAAGAGGGTGAAACTATGGCAGATGACGAGCAGGAGAGACTTCTACATTACTGGCAGGACGTGGCCAGGGGACATCAGGTCGAAGTGCCCAGAGGTAAGACGGGGTTTGCGCGCGTTCAGGATGCATGGACACTGCACGCATACTTCTTATCATGCTTGCACTTCGGAGACATTTTTGTGGACAGCACCACCAAGGCATGAAAATTACGCGACGGCAACAATGAGCAGCGAATTCCCTCATCCTCCCTCACACAGTGATTTCCTGTTGCTGGATGCACATTAACGAGTTTGAAAGTTCGTAAAGAAGCGCGCAAGCTTCTCGTCCCAGAAAAAACAGTCAAAACTCGTAAATAAGCCTTTAAATCGAATTTAAAATACAGAACAGCACATTTAGAACGCGCAAAAATCCCCGTTATACTGAATTCTGTCAATTTAAGTGACAATTATGCGACAATTAAGCACAATGACCATTTGCTGTACGTCGATGGCATTTAGATGATATCTGTCCTGTAATTACACATAGAAGAAAATCATACCACTGGCCGCAGTGCACCTCAGAATTCAGGTGCTGCATAAAAAGAAATGAAATTCTTGTTTGCCATCGTGGTTTTCATGCAGTTGAATTAAAACGCCCCACTGCAATACGCAAAAAAATACCGAGATCTACATAAATGAAATTATTCGCGACAAATGTATGGGTTTACGATAAAATCCAGTTTGCTTTAAAATGGCAGTATACATTAACTTAAAGAGACAAAGTCTAAAGTTATATAAAACAGTAACGGGTGAGTATTGAACAAACAGTCACAAAGAAAAAATAGGGGCAGCACCGGTGAAACCTTCACAGAGCCTCAGGTGGCAGATAAACCTCTTACCAAAGAGGGCATAGCTTTGGAAACTGATCTGGACAATGCTGACCTATGGGGGGGGGAAGGTCCTCTTGGTCACATGGCAATTCCTACGCCATGTGCATGGGGATCTTTCCGAGCAAAGCGTGCCATGTGGGGACTGGGCTTTGGAGGTGACTCCAGGCATGAAGGAAAGATGCACAAAAGGGCAGCAGAGTGTTAACACTGCTCCACCCGCCAGGGAAATCCAACACAGTGGCCTCTCCCCTGCTGTCTGCTGATCAATCCCCAGTAACACATTTCATCTCCAGCACCAGTCATTCCGAGATGATAAAGATCACATTTACAGTGTTATAATAATAATAATTTATTGGGGAAATTCTTATGCCTCCCCAATTTGCTCTCTGGGAGCTAGGGATTAAGGGCCTTGCTCAAAGACCTGCAGACGTGCCGAGGCTGGGCTAGAACCAGCGACCTTCTGATTGCAGGCACAGAGCCCACTGAGCCACACATTGGCCCACCAAGTTAATACCCACAAGTTGCTCCCTCGTTTCATATCAACGCATCTTCATCCCTCATAGCGAACCTACTAACAAGGTGTAAAGGTCTTTCCTCTCCGAGGCCACTCAGCATGGGGCGAGCGTGGCTTCCGATCACAGGCACTCGCGCCCGTCCCAAGTAATCATCCTGCGTTAGGGCACCATCTAAAGTCACACGCTTTCAAAGCACAGATGTCTCATGGAAAAGCGGGTGCCAGAACAAAAGACAAAGGGCCATGATTTTCATATGGTGGGGAAAGAGGAACAACAAATTTCACCTCAGAGCGTTTAAGAGCGCCTGACGACAAAATGAGGGAATTCACATGGTGGGCGTGGCATGGGCCATAATGCAAAGGTAAAGTGCTGATATCATGCAGCATGTAAATTCTGCTATGCGGAGACGTTGGGAAAGAAGAAAGTCTCGATTTTTTGCTGGTCTCCTCCAGGGGCACGTGAATCATTTTCCTCTGGATATGAAGGTCCTGGTGCTGAGGATAACGCAGCAGCCAGTGAGGTCACACGTGTGAATTTGACAGTCCGGTGCTTAAAGAGCCAGGACCATTTTCCTGCGACATCCGGGCTGAACGGACAAAGTCTGCATTCGGGCCTGAAACTCAGGGGGTCTGACTCTGACATTCTCAGTACAAACGGGTCTGAATGAGTGTCAGTGATGAAGAGAGGATTAGAGACACAGACAAGCTGCATGCAGGCCTGTGGCAGCTCAGACTCCTATGTTTAAAGCTGGGGTCTCTTACATGGTCCAACAGCTTCACACCCTCCAGTGAGGGGCCAGCAGTAGACATTGTTAAGGCGTTATGGTGTTAAGGACTCAGGCCAACATCCAGGTCGCTAGATGTGGGTTGTCACTGCACGGGGTCACTAACAACCCCGAAACACAAACTAACGCTTTTAACCCGGAATCGCGGGGAGAGGCGGCTCCCTGCGGAACACGGCAAGAACGAGACGGGGGAACGTCGGGACTTGGTATTATGACTCCCGTGTGGCTGTAACACCCCAAGAGGCCAGCCGCTACTGACACAATAAAACAAGGTTCAGCCAACACCCCCTCGCAGAAGCACAGCCAACACCACAGAAAGCATGGCTGCTGCTGGCAGGCAGAAAGATACGGAACAGGTTTTTCCATGTAATAATTACATACTATCTTAAACATTGCATTGCATGCCGCCAAATGAATGTAAAATGTTAAAAACAAACCTATAAAGCCTTGACAAACAAGTTGTTTTTAGTTAGGAGCAAACTGTTCTCAATCACTGATGCGGTGAAACAGTGTCATGGAGGCGTTCCCTGCCCCCACCCTTGGCACGCGATCCCACCCAACAGCCTAACCTGCTCGGCCTGAGTCACCTGTGCTCACACTGGCTCCAGGTGACCAGTACCCCTACCCGGGGGTGGGGGGTGGGGGGGATCCCTGTGCCGTTATCACTCCTAGTCATACCTCATCACTTCAAATATGCTGTTTTTGTGGAGTGAGTCCCAATCTCACTCGAAACCTACGACCTATTGATCTGCAACTGCAGTGCATGATGTCAGTCACTGTGTCCCCCTCTGTGGGACAAGCTCAGCTACAGAACCGGTAATACAGAAGAAGCACTTAGCCCACTAAGTGCAGCGTTGGATGGTCCTAGGTTAGACAGGCACCTTCCTTTCAGTAAATGTGGTGTTTGAGACCCAGGAACCCAGGAAGATAAACACACTTGGCTGTATACATTCAGTGAGTTCGACCCATGTTATGGGGTGAACCCCCCAAACACACACACACACACACACACAGCTCTCTGGCACCTGAAATTCCCTAAATCCGACTTCCAGATGCCTGAGGGGGAGCTCATGTTTGGGTGGGTGGGGGTAATGGAGAGCCGTCTCACGTTGCCGTGCAGGCTGGCGGCATTCCAGCCAGATCAAGTCCAGAAGGTGGTTTGGATGCAGCGTTAGATCATGTGGTCAATACAGTTCAGGGAGCAATGCGTTCTGGGTGTGACGCCTCTCTTGGAAGACGCTCGGAATGCTAGGCCACTCACAAACCTCAGCAACATTGGTACAGGGAGCCGACGCAAATCAACATCCACAAAGGAGCCATTCTAACTCTCACTGCAAAGTCCTCCAGTGCAAGTGGCATGCAGAGGGCTGTGCACCATTAGGGACAAAGTGAAACTGGCCACTGAGATTTGCTGCGGAAGGTGGGGGCACCAGCAGGGAGGCTCTCCTAGGGCCCCGCAGGGGTTTTCACCAGCACACACCAGTAAGGTGAATAAGCAGAGCACTAGCCCCTCCCAAACAGACTAAACTCCCCTGATGGCATTGTGCCCCCCTCCCCACAGACATGGCCGGGCCCATCCAGCAGCTGACCACCAACAACGATGGCACCCAGGACCGGCAGCCCGTGCCCAGCACCCTCATCATCCGCAAAGAGAAGGTGAGTCCCACCCCAGGGCCGAACGGAAACTCTGGGCTTTACCTGAGCATCACTTAACAGGACAGGTTTTGGCCGGGTCCCGCATTCGGACTCATCCTGTCACATTCAGGTTTGGCAGCTTTCACTGCTACATTTGTAATTAAATCCCACGACATGGCACAGGTAACAGCCAAATGGTTTCCCTGTCAACACGCCTTGAGGATCTACTGAGCAAAGATGCACTGTTTGTAAAAGGTTATCTTCAGCACACTAAACTAGGAATTTGCTTTTGGAAGCAATTTAAAGGCAACTTAAACTGGTTGACATGTATCCATGGCTGAGCAGAGCGTGTGCCCCCGCAGTGCGGGACTGTGCTCTACGAGAAGAGGCACTACGAGAAGGCCTACTGGGCCTGCATCACCATCCAGGAGGAGACCTACGAGCAAAGCATCTGCCACGGCTTCATGAAGCTCATGAGATACATCTGCCAGCAGAACTCCTCAGGTAACTCTCCACGCCGACTCGCACGCCACTACCCCTCCCCATCGGCTTCAGATGTCATGCAGCTTCTGGTTGGATCCACAAGAGCATGAGGTAAGCATATACCCCAGGCACGTCATCAGCAAATGCAGGGCTTCTCCAGCCAGTGTGAGGTCCCCCGAGTGTCCTGTGTCCCAGGAGAGCTCTGATCATCTCACCCCCGTTTCCCCATCTGCAGGCAGCTACCTGGGGATGACTATCCCCATCGTGACTGTGGTGCGTACAGACGAGGCGCACACCGCCCTGTCCCAGGCTGTGACCGTGGCCTACTACTTGCCCCCAGAGTTTCAAGGGCAGCCCCCACAGCCCTTCGATGGAGATATCATCATCGAAGAATGGCCTGCCACCATCATCTACGCCAGGTCGGTCTGAGATTGGGGAACCCCATGGCTGACTCATGGCTGACTCTTAAGAGAGACAGGATCTTTAAAGTAATGTTGTGATAATTATGCTCCTAAGCTACAAAAAGCTTAGCAGCTGGGCTTAGTCTGCCTTTAGTGGGAATGTCACTTCCTGTCTGAAAAGGAAGTGACCGTCCTGAACGCTGGCACCTCCATGCTGGTGTTCTGGCTTCATGGCCCCTCCTCCTTCCGTCCTCACTTTCAGGGCTTTCAGCGGTGCCACGAACGAACAGACTATCCTCAATGAGATCAACGTGCTGGCGGACATCCTCGAGTCGCCGGGCATCTTCCTGAGTGACTCTTTCATCGTGGCAAGCTACAGCAGCCCAGCCGATGCCAACCGCCGAAACGAGATCTGGTTCCTGGAGAGGCCCTGAGTTGACTCTAATGGTCCCTCCCACCTCATACGCTTATTGACCACTCTAGTCCAGTGTGGCCCATTTGTCCACTGACCCATGCCGCAACCAGCCGGCCTAAGGCAGATTACAGTAGTTTAACCCTAAATCGATGGCCATTCGCTACAATATCCATATCATTTCTGGGTGAACAGGGGCCAGTGATGATAATGACTATTTCCCTCTTGGTTTTTAATGCTGAATGGTCATTATTTTGCATTTTTGGGAGGCCATCTTAGGACAGGAATCCCAGTCATCTGACTCCACGCTAATGTGATAATCAGTGCTTCTGGAATTGGAGATCACAGAGGCACCCACATTCACACCATAAACACACTGCAGACAGTTATCCAAAGTCAGACTGACTGTGTTACTGCTA